ATCTACACTGCTACTTTTGCATAGGTACTATTTCTGTACCAAAAATCTGTAGTACTGGAAATTTACTTCTAATATTTAGTACTATTTTGTTACTTTAAAAGTATTGTAATATTTATGTACCTGTTTTTTACAATACTTGATTTGTCCTACAGATTTTTGGTACAGAAATAATACCAACAGTGATCACAATATTCCATGTTTGAAAATCATAACTTTATGAGATTTGAAATAGACAAACTTTCCAAATACTGAAAATGTAACAGTGTAACCAAAAATCTACATTACTTAAATTTCAAGTACAAATACAAGTACCTAAATATTACAATAATTTTAAGTAACAAAATAGTACTAAATATTAAAAGTCAATTTCCAGTACTACAGATTTTTGGTACAGAAATAGTACCTATGCAAAAGTAGCAGTGTACTGACATTTCTGTTATGTATGCAGATCTAGTCTTGCTCATCATTGTTGTTTATAGTTTTCTTATTAAAGTCTTGCATAATATATGAAAATTTGGAGAAAAAAATCATCATTAAAGGGCAATACAATTGTAACTACTATAAGGAATTTACTGACAATTTTGGCCATGTCCATACATTTGCAGGTCATGTATTGATGGCCATTTCTTATAAAACAAATTTTCTTTATTTTCTATAGTTTTGGCCAAATATGCAAAAATGGGTAAAAATCATCATTAAAGGGCAATACATTGTAACACCTATTAGCATGATTAGCATGATTAGGAGTCAACTGAGGATTTCTGCCATCTTGACTAATATGTGGACTGTGTCCTGTTAATAATATTTCCTGGTTACAGTTTTTGTCTACTACACTTTTGGATAAAAATGCAACAATTGGTAACTAGGACAATAGCCCCCAAAAACATTCCCAACCATCCTTTTAGTGGTATGGAACCTTGTGCTAAAATTTCATAGAGATTCATGAACTTATACTCAAGTTATTGTCTGCGAACCAAAATGTCTTCAGACGCAGACAACACCATAACATAATACGAAGGCAAATAAATTTGCGGTCGTATAAAAGCCTCTATTTCAGTCATGTTGAGAAATTTGTAGATCTTATCCTGTTGATCATTTTTGCTATTAAAAGTTTCTCTTTATCTCTTATACATGTAGTTTTCAAGATAAAATGAAAATTTTGTAAAAATCTTCATTTAGGGCAAGCAATTTTGACCATTTTTATTTATTTGTAGATCTTGTCTTCTATATATTTTTACGATCTTTAGTTTCTCTTTATCTATCTATTATAGTTTCCAAAGTTAAAGACAAAAATGGAAAAAAAAATTGTAAAATTATCATTTAAGGACAAGTTGTCTGTAGGTTTTTGTGTAAATGGACAATAAGTAGATCTCAATATTCTGAACTTGCCTTTCAATGTGACACCTGAGTCAGGTGAGATAAAAATCAGTCAAGTAAACATATATTATATTCCAGTTTTTCGGGAAGATAAGGTTAAAATTGGGAATGTTATAATGTACAAAATGTATAAAAAACTTTAAGAAAATTATGATATTTTCAGCAATAAAAAATTAAAATTTGGTTTATTTCAATATTCTAATTAATTAACAATATTTCTAAGTTGTAGCGAAATATGCCCATTCGTTATGTAAATGATGAATAAAAACAGTCTAGGGTCTAACTTAAATAACTTAATAAAGAAAAATGACATACATTTGTTATTGTTGATTAAAAAATTACAAAACTGGGATAACATATGCATGTTACATGTTTCAAAGGGGCAGTATACATCCTTTGTTTTAATAAAATGTATACAAGTTCTATTGATATTATTATTGTCTATATGCATACTAAACTTAAGAAAGATATAGTTTGCCAATCATGCATATAACATCTGTGTTATTACAGAAAAAAAATATACCTGTTATAACTACAATGAACTAAAGTGTGTTATTACAGCTACTCGACATCACTTCAAAGCCTTTGCTCAGACATCTATCATGCTTAATTCACAATGTATTTTAATTTATTGTAATAAAAAATAATCAGAGCATAAAATGAGGTACTGGCAAGCTTCCAAGTAATTAGGAATTTGTGTCCCATTCTAAATTACATGCCTGTAAAAACCAAGCCTTGTTATTACAGCTAATTTTATCATTTAAAAGCCTTGTCTCATTATTGATTTACCATGGTTGATCAAAAATGATTTAATTTAATTGGAAAATGAGTTATCCAGTCTACATGGTCTATGTGTTAAGTTTTTGCGCAAAGTTTCAAGAATTTCCAAGTTCCCAATAAAAAGTAAAATATTAAAGATTTGTTTTAACAAATAACAAACATATGTTATTATAGATTGAGAATATTTTAGGAATAAAGAGTAGACAACTCATGAAAGCATCTGTATTAACACATGTATGTTATTTTTTCTCTAATAACTTATTTAAGTTAGACACTTGACTGAAAAATGGGGTTTCGCAAGGTGTCATTGTGGTATGATAGTCAAAATTTGGTCAAAGTCTCATTAACTCCTTTAAGAATGGTCAAATCAATATGACAATATAATTTGGTCAACTACATATGATGGAAAGTAATCCTATCATCTATTAGAGTGTCTGTTTGTCCCGCCTTCCAATCGTCCTTAACACTTTATAAACACAACTCCTCTGACACAATTTGATTACCATATTATATCTTGCCACAAGGGACAATTAGGGAAAAAAATTCGTAAGGGTTCTGCGGAACCCAGTGTCTCGCCTACTTTTTCTGTTAATCGCAGGCTCAACAAAAATGAGGAAGTAAATCAATAAAAATATTCCTTTAGATACTATCTTTTGATTGTAAGAAGCTTCTGTCCAAGTTTGGTAAAAATCCAGGATAGTTTATGAATCTAATAAATGTTTAAAAACTTTAACTGCAGACTGAATGTAATGTTAACTGGAAGAAAACAAAAATTTCCTTCTAGATACTAGCATTTGATCATAAACAAGCTTCTGTCCAAGTTTGGTACAAATCCAAAATAGTATAAGAAAGTTATAAAAACTTTAACCACAGAGTGAATGTGTTGTTTCCTGGCAGAAAGTCCATTTAACATGTTTAAAAGTAAAATAAGGAAAAAAAAATTTTTTTTTACAAAATTTACTTCTGGATACTATCTTATGATCATAAACAAGCTTCTGTCCAAGTTTGGTAAAAACCCAGGATAGTTTAAGAAAGTTATTAAAATTTTAAAAACTTTAACCACAGAGTGAATGTAATATTTCCCGGCAGAAAAACTAAGTCCATTTATAAGTAAAATACGGAAAAAATGGAATTTTATTTTTACAAAATTTACTTCTGGATACTATCTTATGATCATAAACAAGCTTCTGTCCAAGTTTGGTAGAAATCCAGGATAGTTTATGAAAGTTATTAAAATTTGAAAAACTTTAACCACAGAGTGAATATTTGTGGACGCCGCCAACGAAGGCGCCAACGGAATGTAGGATCACTATGTCTCGCTTTTTCTACTAAAGTTGAAGTCTCGACAATAAAAACCACATGACAAAGTATTGTTTAATGTCAAAACAAGTACAAAGCTCACACTGCCATCTGACGCTCCCAGAAATTTATAGACATTTTTTAGAGAAAACAATTTTATTTCAAGGGTTCAAAATACTAGTACAACTGTATTGTTAATTTTTCACCTGTATAAATATGTTACAAATCATACTACCAGGGATACCATCCTGTTTAAAAAAAAAACATTGACCTTGAACCTTGTCCTGTTGACCCCAAAATTAATAGGCTTCTTTCCCTTCCCTTCCATTCATCTTCCATCTGTATAAGTTCCTTTTAAATCAAGCAAGGGACACTTAAGCTCCATCTGGACACCATTTCTTTTTTTCTTTTCAGTGACCTTGACTATTGACCTAATGACCCCAAAATCAATAGGCTTCAATGAACTTCCCCATTCACTATATTGTCCATCCCTTTAAGATTCAATCCAGTCAAGCATGTGAATCTCAAGTTATCATCAGGCAAATGATTTTCCATTTTTAATTTTAAAAGTTTTAGATACAGTGACCTTGACCTTTGACCCCAAACTTAATAAGCTTCTTCCCCTTCCCTATATCGTCCATCCACCTGTCATGAATGTATAAGTCCTATAATAATCTTTGCAATTGAAACTCACTTTCTGTTAAGTCATTACAATTATTCATTGTAATATAAAAATAAGGAGATGTGGTATGAATGCCAATGAGACAACTATCCACCAAAGTTCATGAAGTTTAAATGAAGTGGATGTAAGCAATTATAGGCAAAAACCATACCATATAACCAGTTTTAAAAGGTCCCACCATGTTTGTTAGATCTGTATTGTACATGTCATATTCAGTTTCTTGTAAATCAAATTTGACCTCTATTGTTGGAAGTTTTTTCATAAATAATTTGGGAGGTTGTTGTCTGACTAAGTGCTATAATTTTCATTGTTCAATATATCATTTTAACCTTCTAAACTGTCTGTTCCAGTCATTTGAGTATTTAGTATAAAGCTTAATTTGAATGAAACTATGTGTTTCCAGCTACTAGAGACTAGAGTAGAGACTACTAGAGTGAAGTTGTGTCAAGACTCCAAAAGTTTAACCCTTAGAATTGGGATCACATAAGCTTGTAATGACCATATAGACTTGTGAATGGATAAACGCTGTTGTATTTAAATATCTAAATCAATCTTACATGTCTCGAATGCATTTTTTCTCCGCTCATCCTTCAGATTCTGAATTGGAGCTTGACCAAACAGGATGTTGTGTGATATAAAAAAAAGATATTTAATCCCGAAATAAAACCCAACAATTAAAAACTGATATGGCTCAGTGCCGTTACTTCAGTATATTAGTATAGAAAGTATACAGTATTTAAAAAAAAAATGTGATCATTATTATTACAAATGTGTCAAAAATCGTCCTTAAAAGTTTTATTTTCGTTATTTTGTGTTCGGTATGTAGGACATAATTTAAAAATCTACTTTCACTTTTGGTTTCAATCACTTCCGGTGAAAATGGATAGTCTGCTTTTGTTGATCTTGTGTCTTGTATCATTATTTATAGCAGAATATGGAATGGGTAGTGATGATTTTAGGATTCCTTTGTTTTCAACCAAAACACCATATTTCTGGGGGAAGGATATAGATGAATTCATCCGGGAAGATGAGGAAATTTGGGTTGATTATGATAATAAAGAATGTCAAATTATTCATTTGAACTTAATTCTGAGACATGGGTCTAGATTACCGACTTTATCTTGGATAAAGAAAATGACAATCATTGGTAAAGTCCTTAAAAGCAATCCCGAGGTTGTGGAAAGGTTCCCATTTCTTAATTCGTGGGAAAATCCTTTCCCAGAAACACAAGCCGGACATTTGTCTGACCTAGGAGAAGATGAACATTTTTCACTTGGAAGAAGATTTGGGAGAAGATTCAGTTTATTATTTGATGGTGATTTGGAAAACATTTTCTATGGTGTCACATACAAACAGCGAACACAGGCAAGCTGTGCTTCATTTTATGAGGGTTTAACTGACACCGTGGAAGGGGAATCACGGACAAATGTGAAGCCTGCAATAAATGATAAACTCCTGAGATTCTTTGACACTTGTTCAAAATATATTAAATCAGTTGAAAATAATAAAACTGCTGCCCCAGAACATACTTCATTTAAGTATGGAGCTGAGATGAAAAGAATTGCTAAAAAGATTGCTGACAAGCTTGGACTAAAGACTTTAAATTCAGGTACAAAATGTACACCTCGCATCACACAAAAACACATTAAGCTTTCATATAATTCTATAAATGGATTGCATATATCTTGATACAAACTGTTGTCAACAAGTAAAATAAGCTTTTCTGTGCAATACTATTGCAGAGGCTTCACAAGATTCATAATCATTTATCAATTTACTACAGTACTTCATAAATGAACACCAAAAAAAAACAAAAAAAAACATTACATGTAGGAATCATCGTATCCCAAACTAGTAGCAGATACACCACCACATAAATATTGTTCTCATTTTTTTTTTTTTGATATTCAAATTAATTTAACATTGTTGATGTCTGATTTTGATGAGAGTAAGCATTCATTCAACTCTGAAGGGAGCATAACAAGAAATTCAGGACAACAACAATGTGATGACAAGTGTTGGTTAGGTCAAGAGCATTTATACATTCACAACTCTTTTGGACAAATGTTGGATGGAGTATACATTTTTGTATTAGTCGAACAAGTGTTTGTATAATGAACAAATAGATTTGGTGCATACATCAATGAGACAGCAACCCAACAACACAAAAACTTGATGAGACTTCTACAGAACTCAAAATAAGTATTTAACAGTAAAAAAATATAGTTATTCATTTATATGTAAATCTGGATATATGTTATATGTATTGCTGTCATCTTTTATTCACAGGGAGTTATATCATGGTTCTGAGAATGGTCACTTTATTTTTAAAGTTTACCCTTTCTTTAAAGCTTTACATGTAGATTCTTTTTTCTAAACATGTTAAATGGTAAATTTCTTGTTACAATTTAAAATCCTGTCATTGCTTATCAACACAATACACATGTATATGTACATGTCCCTTTTAAACATAATTAAAAATATTTTTTTTTAAATGTTTATGTTTGTCAAGGAAATTCATGACAATGTAATTATAACAACTTGCATTGTTTGACCCTTGCCCAACCACACCCACTCGCAGTCTTCTACCTTATTTATTTGAAGCCCATTAACAAAGCTTAAATACCAAATTTTTGCATCATGCAGTTTTGCTTAATTGCCATTCAAAAATGTTTTGACTCAGGACTCCTCATGTATAACAATGTATTAAAAAAAAAAGGTAAAAAGTTCTTTTTAGCTCACCTGGCCTAAAGGGCCATGTGAGCTTTTCCCATCACTTGGAGCCTGTCGTCGTTGTCTTCTGCATCATCTGTTGTCCGTCAACTTTTACAAAGATCATCTCCTCTTAAACTACTGAGCCAAATTTAACCAAACTTAGCCACAATCATCATTGGGTACATGTAGTTTTAAAAATATGTCTTATTACCCTGCCTGCCCAGTAAGATGGCCGACATGGCTAAAAATAGAAAAAGGGGTAAAATGTAAGTTTTGTCAGTTTATTTTAAAAACCGCTATAAAATCTGACAGGGGACGAATGTTGAGCTCAACCTATTATCTATTTATGTCTCAAACTGTCAGACAATTTTTTATTGGAGTTATTGCCCTAAAATGACTAATTTTAATACTTTTTTTCATTTTGCCTATTATCTTGAAAACTATAATAGAGAGAAACTCAAAACAGAAAATCTGATCAGCTAGACAAGATCTTAAAGTAAGTCAATATAGCAGAAATAATCAATCGACTCCTTATTAGAGTTATTGCCCTTTAATGACAATTTTTACCTTTTTTTTTGCGTTTTTTCCTAAAATCTTGAAAACTACAATAGATAGATAGAAACTCTAAACAGCATAGGTGATCAGCAAGTCAAGATCTACAAATAAGTCTAATAGCCAAATTATTCAGTCGACTGGTTTTTGAAGTTATTGCTCTTTAATGACGATTTTTACCAATGTTTGGTGTTTTTGCCAATTATCTTGAAAACTATAAAGATTGATAGAAACTCTAAATAACAAAAATTATCAGCAAGACAAGATCTACAATCAGGTCAAATTCTGCCGAAAAAGTAGATAGGAGTGATTGCCCTTAAATGACGATTTTTTTGTTACCCTCTTTTGTGTTTTGGGCAAAAACTAAATAAGATAGAGAGAAACTGTAATCAGAAGTCTACAATGTTGAAGATGCACATAGACCTAGTTGAGCGACACTGAGTCTTTAAAGCCTCCAGTTTAAATGGAGTGAAACGTTGTTCTTTGCAAAATGAGATTTGTATTGTTGTTTATGCCAGTTTTTGGGTAATTATGCATTCATAACTGTCAAGACTGGGTTATTTAGAACTTAATACATCTTAGGCTGCTTTTTATGTTGGAGACTGTAAGTCTGCATGTAGATGTCATTTTAAGTTCGTTATAGAAGGGGTCATAATGTTATCTGGTCTGCATCAGTTACCATGAAGTTATAGACACATCAACTTGAAACTTAGTACACATGTTCTTTCTGTTGTGAAGTTTGTTAAAGATATGCCAATTACCAGTAGGATTTTGATGCAGATTTAGCTGAACTCACCGAAGATGGAAGTGAGAGTGAGGCATGAAATTCTCATTTTTTTCTGCTTCAATGAACTCTCGAAGGCTAGGCATAGATTTGTTTTTTTCCGGCACCATTTACAGCATCATGATCAACAATTTATTTAAATTGATGAAGTTATTATATAAATAACACATAGCTGAGAGGGTGATAGAGCAGATTGTTACCCTGAGAAAACATTGTCAACTGAGTCGAAGCCAATGTTGACAATGTCTTTTCGAGGGGTAACAATCTGCTCTATCACCCTCTCAGATATGTGTTATTTAATTTATTATATTGAATGTTCTGTTATTACTACCGTTTAAATTTCAAATTCAAAGTAATAAACTATGACGTCTTGTACATAACCATCTGTATTTAATAAAGCTCACATGTACTTGATCAAGCGTCTCCATGAAGGGTAATAGAGTAACTTAACACCCTCCTATTAGCCAATCAAAATATGCATTTTAACGTGAAGTATAATAAAAGAAGATGTGATATGATTTCCAAGGAGTTACTCTCCTCCAGAGACCAAATGATGTAGAAGTTAACAACTATAGGTCACTGTTTAAGACCATTTTAAGGGAAACCTCTTATGGTGAGGTCAGTTGTACAGTCGACTCCACTTAATTGCATACCGCTTAATAGCATAATTCGGTTAATTGCATAGTTTTCTCCTGCACAAAACCATTTCCCATTCATCTAATGTTAAATTGTCCGGTTATATGCATAGCTCTACAAGTGGCCTTTCGGTTTATTGCATAGAAAATTATCGCCATCTAGATATGCTTAGTTAAATCTATCGAAATTTTTGACCGGAAACGGCAAGTTGGTGAGTATATTTTTCTTGAATGCATCATTATTTTCATTATTATTTCATATTTACTTTTGTGTTATGCAAATAAAGTTTTAAAACAGTTTCTTTCGTGTTTATATGATTGAATTTGATTTAAAAATAAACCTCGATATCTACACAGGTAAAGTTTCCCATGTTCTATTTTAAGCCTCGAGGTCATAAAAATGTCAAACAGGTAATTGTTGTAAAAACACTGACCATTCTATCTAAAAAGGTGTAAATAATTGATTGGATTTCAAACACTGTCAATAGATTACACTTGGGGTGAAATTCAAAAACAATAACGCCTGCTAATTATCGATCATTATCCAATGTGAACTCCCGTAATTGGGCTTGGGGTGATCTGCATTTATGTTAAATATTACAGGGCATTTATATATGGTTAATAATCAATAATTTAATTTTAATATATTTTGAAAAGAGCATTTATTTCTAATTATTATATTTTCTCACTTTAAACACTCGTGTCCAGCAAATAACCCGTACAGGGCCCCTTTACTGCTTTGCATATACGAAACTAACGAAGTCAAATAACCAGTGTTACTTCACTCTGCCAGCTGTAAATATTGTATATCAAAGGCAGTTTAGTACACATCTATTGTTAAAATGATTATAAACTGTGTAGTTTTGTTAAACAGTTTATTTTAACCAAAGCGTAACAATGTACATTGTACATACGGGTCATAGAAACAAATCTATTTATAGAACGAATTTATTTTCGTATCCCAGGTAAACTGGTAAAGGAAACGTCGGTACGCAAATACACTAAAACAAAATGTGTTTATAATCTTTATTGAAATAAAACAAAATAAAATAACATGAATGACAATAGACATATAACTTTTATTGGAATAAATCAACATTCAATATGTTGTAATTGGATTATAGACGTTCATCTCAAGACAGGGATTTCCTTTACTGATCTGTTCTATCGATGTTATTTGACTCCGTAATTTGGCTTTTCGGATATAAGCATACTCCGCTTTATTGCATAATTTTGTCTGACAAATAGGCTATGCAAATAACCGGAATGTACTGTATTAGCATTGGCCAAAAACATGGCCGCCATGGCTAAAAATAGAACATAGGGGTAAAATGCAGTTTTTGGCTTATATCTCAAAAACCAAAACAGTTAGAGCAAATCTGACAAGGGGTAAAAGTGTTCATAAGGTAAAGTTCTATCAGCCCTGAAATTTTCAGATGAATCTAATAACCCATTGTTCGCTTGCTGCCACTAAATTGGTAATTTTAAGGAAATTTTGCAGTTTTTGGTTATTATCTTGAATAGTATTAATGATAAAGATAAACTGTAAACAGCAAATATGTTCAGCAAAGTAAGATCTACAAATAAGTTTATATGACCAAAATTGTCAATTGACCCCTTAAGGAGTATTGTCCTTTGAGGACAATTTTACACAATTTGTATATCATGTTTTCTAACTTTAAAAAATCTTCACTTCTGAAACTACTCAACCAGATTTAGCTGAACTCACCGAAGATGGAAGTGAGAGTGAGGCATGAAATTCTCATTTTTTTCTGCTTCAATGAACTCTCGAAGGCTAGGCATAGATTTGTTTTTTTCCGGCACCATTTACAGCATCATGATCAACAATTTATTTAAATTGATGAAGTTATTATATAAATAACACATAGCTGAGAGGGTGATAGAGCAGATTGTTACCCTGAGAAAACATTGTCAACTGAGTCGAAGCCAATGTTGACAATGTCTTTTCGAGGGGTAACAATCTGCTCTATCACCCTCTCAGATATGTGTTATTTAATTTATTATATTGAATGTTCTGTTATTACTACCGTTTAAATTTCAAATTCAAAGTAATAAACTATGACGTCTTGTACATAACCATCTGTATTTAATAAAGCTCACATGTACTTGATCAAGCGTCTCCATGAAGGGTAATAGAGTAACTTAACACCCTCCTATTAGCCAATCAAAATATGCATTTTAACGTGAAGTATAATAAAAGAAGATGTGATATGATTTCCAAGGAGTTACTCTCCTCCAGAGACCAAATGATGTAGAAGTTAACAACTATAGGTCACTGTTTAAGACCATTTTAAGGGAAACCTCTTATGGTGAGGTCAGTTGTATTAGCATTGGCACATATCATTTTCTCTATTTGTCCCTGCCCCTCAGTCATGGTCTATTAACTTTGAACTTTTTGCCTCGTTTAAATGTTAAAGTTTGTGATTTTGTCTGTTGAAGAGGAACCAATGATACTGTAAATTCAGAAATTATTGCATGCATTTATTGCGATTTTGTCATTTCACTTTTAGACAAAAATGTGATTTTAATTTTTGCGATATTGAGAAAAACCCTGTTTAATTCATATAAAAAATTTCAAAATGCGAGTTTAGATTATTGCGATTATAACCCTGTCGCATTTTTCGCAATAATAAAAACATTGCAATGATTTCTGAATTTACCAATGATATTGAGTATCCAGTTTATCAGTATTGTGACAGAATATAGGTTCCCCCATAATATTTGTTCCACATTTGTAGCACATCTCATTTTGATGTAGATTATACTAACCTGTTCCCTCAGTCATGGTTCATTGACTTTGAAACTTTTGCATATTTGACATAGTAAAGTTTTTGACTAGGACAGTTTAAATGGAACCACTTCTGTTAAGTCAATGATATTTGGTACGCATAAGCATTGCCATATATATATACTGACCGACTTTAGAAACGCAACACTAGATTATTCTTTTTAATTTTTTGAATGAAAAGCAATGACTGCCTGTAACAGACGCCAAAATGATTGTCAGAAAGATCAACCAATTCTGTTCCACATGTTTTGGGTTCTGTTTTACACATTCTGAATATGCGTTTGTTCCACCCATTACAATGGGTTTTGGTAATTATGCGGTGGAAACTTCAGGGCTTTAAATGTTTTTCTTCAGTCGATTCTTCGGCAGTTCAGTTTATGGGAAACGTTTATGGCATGAATCTGTGCGCAATGGCATTCGGCAATTTGATAAGCAGTTGACGTTGCGGCCGTAAACAAGTCTCGCAAATGACGTTGCGTAATCAAATTCTATTGACGTTGCATTGTCACTACATGTTGATCTGGTCATTGGTAGTTGGTAACAAATCCCGTTTACCTGTATCGTTGTCGGGAGGACAGTAAGAGGAGTTTCTGAAGTCAAACTGTATGGTTGCAGCACGTTCACGTTTTCCTGTTTGCGGAATTCTTATGGGCTGATTCAGTTTTTTATTCCTCAGTCTTGGCAATATGGAGATGCAACATTTTTTAACTGATTTAAATGTGGCCAAGGATTGAAAGAACTGTTTCACGAAGCAAAACAAACTGAAAAAATCTTTTATGGGTACCAAATTTTGCTTTAAGAAATTCATGCGACTTCAAAAATCCGGTATGTTCAATAACCACAGGTAAGTCAGATGTTGAATTTTTCTTAAGAGAAAGAAGTATGGTAAGCATTAATAGTAGTTGTATGAGAATCAAACATGATGTGGGAAAAAAAAATCAACAAAATGAGTGTTGCGTTTTTAAAGTCAGTCAGTATATATACATCTCCTTTGAGATTTTTTGTCCCTGCACCTTCATTCATGGTTCATTGATTTTGAATCTTTTGCATATATATTTTACATGTTAAGGTATTGTTATTGCCATTTTCATTTGCAACTTTTGGATTTTACTATCAAATTTATATACAGGTGAGACATGTATCTCTGTGTTGACAGATTATTTAATTTTCCGACCCTCATGTATGTACGTACATGTCAAAGTTATCTGATGAGTTATCTATTTATGAGATTAGTATACTAAGTTCTTCATGACATCTTTCAAAAACCAGGTTGGAACTAGGCAGAAATTTATATTTTGTTTCAAAACGTTTTAAACTAAATATTTATATTTCATATTCTTTTATAGAAGAAGCCCAGACTATTCACCATTTATGTGCCTTTGAGCTAGCAATGTTTGATAAGTCTGATTGGTGCGATATGTTAGAAAAGGAAGATTTATTCATTTTCGAATATCTTTATGATTTGAAGGTAATTTATTGAATATGTGAAATATATATATATACCATCAAATTCATCAAACCAATAAAAACGAAAAGAGACAATGAGGATAATTGATTTAATGATGAAAATTGATGTTAGCAACAGATGATACATTGTTTATGTCAACCATTATACCAATGTGATGACATCAATCATGTCAATACAAACAGACTGCATAAAAAAAAAATTGACAAGAAAATCTATAGATACCAAAGAACGATACATTTGATATTCTTTAAGAAAATCACAAGTGACCGAAACTATTAATCCGCTTATTTTTTATGATCTGATTTTTATGTGTTTAAATATCAATATAGCATATTTACCAGATTAGAAATTAAGGCTTATTGGAGTTTCTAGGGTTTATTTTTTTTTTTTTTTTTTTTTTTTTTTGGGGGGGGGGGGGGTGTTTTTCATATATATTTGTTGAAAAAAAAAAATGTCCAACTAAGCAGTAATATATTTGGTCAGCATGTAATCAGGGTGCAAGCAAATTAATCTTATCTTTCTATGTATAGATATATTTATCGGTCGTCCCACTGTCTGTATCACTTTGCTCAGCTCTTAATAAAATTGCATATCACGGCTTTGTGACGTCAAATACGTTGACCCGGCCTTAATAACTTTGACCCGGACATATCAGCGACGTTATAATGTATGAACCGACGTTGATAAATTTGACCTGAACTTATCAAGTCAATACGCAAATACAACCTGATAAATCGATTATCTTGTTGTCTGCATATTTATATTGTAAAATATCAGCTGCTCGACAAAAAGCTTCATATTGTGACTCTCAGCAATATCAGTATGCAAACAACCTGATAATCGGAACATACATGTGTATAGTAATATATCTACCTATCTTTTCTGTATAATCAGTCAGGGGCATTTCTTAAACAAGTAACTTTTAAAATTACCTATACAAGTAATGTTGAAAACGAGGCTATTTTAAATATTACTTATAAAAGTAACTTTTCTAAATATTATTTTTATAGGTGTTCAATTATACAGATTTTACTAGCTTTAACAAATTTTCACAGTCATCTGGTTATTTTTCCCATGAAATATAAAATCTAATATTTCTGAAACACTAATTGCCTTTCTGATGCACTTATCTTTCCTATCGATGCTTCTGGGTCAAAGATTCGTCTCTTTTGGTCTATTAAAATACCATTTTCCTTGAAAATCTTGAAGGTAGACAGATATAAATAGATAGAAACTTGTGAATTAATTAAGACTTGAAGTTATTTATAATTTGTAACCCAAAACAATTACATATAGATTAAGAAGATGTGGTATGAGTGCCAATGAGACAACTCTCCATCCAAGTCAAAATTCATAAAAGTAAACCATTATAGGTCACAGTACGGTCTTCAACACAGAGCCTTGGCTCACACCGAACAGTAAGCTTTAAAGGGCCCCAAAAAATTACTAGTGTAAAACCATTCAAATGGGAAAACCAACGGTCTAATCTATATAAAAAACGAGAAACAAGAAACACTTATGAACCACATCAACAAACGACAACTACTGAACATCAGATTCCTGACTTAGGACAGGTGCAAACAAATGCAGCGGGTTTTAATGGTACCAAACCTTCACCCTTTTTCCTGAAACAATAGTGTAACATCACAACATAGAAAGACACACTATAAAATATCAACTGAAATAGCTTAACTCAATCAAAGGACATATTAACACCATTGAACATACACTGAACAAATAAATTTGACCTATGACACAATGTAAATACAAAATAAATAAACTAAGGGAAGAATAATAAAAGTAACATGTTATATCGGTAAGAAATGTTAAACAATTAAAGAAAAACAATATGCTCGAACAAAAATACCATCCATTTGCAATAACTTTAAACACAGGTAAATGAAAATAATTTTGTTGTTAGGTATACCTGTACAGTACCAATAGAGAAAGGAAATATTATTACAAAATAAATAATTTTGATGTTCATAGTACGAAGTGAAAATTTATAGTTATACCAAACACTTATCAAAGCTGGTATATAGACCAGATATAACCCTGAATAACATCAAATAACAAAAAAGCAATACAATTAGGATCAACAGGTCAAATAAAGAAGAAAGTACGATTTGAGAGTACTCGCATATGTTCCTTAAATAAGTGTTATTACTAATTCTTTCAAAGATGTATAAGATAACTTATTCAAGTAATATTTTTGTCATTATTTTTAAAGTAACCCTTTATCTCCTCTCATATCTAATAAATTCTCCATTTTATGATATAAAATGATGTAAAAACTCATGAAAACTACATTTAGCCCATGCTTCTATTGAAATTTAAAATAACTCTATTGAGTAATTTTATAATTTTTAAAAACAAAAATTACCTATATAAGTAACTAAAAAACATTACTTGTTTAAGTAACGCCCCTGACTGATAATATTTCACATTATTGTTACAGGAACTCTATGGTACAAAAAAAAAACTGAAAAGACATCTAAAGGTCAATATATGGTCTCCAATCATAGACAAGTATCTATAAGATATTCTTAGCTCTAAATCACCTTGAGTCAAAAAGAGTTGTGAATCAATTCAGCAGAGACTAAAAAAAATCTGCCATCAACCACAAAGTCTCTAAATAAAAAATATCCTGACTTTTGACAGTCACAAGAGCCTGTGGCTTGGTTAAATAGTTTTTTTAATCCTCATCCCTCCCAATTTTTATTTCAATCAGTGGAATAGCAAAAGGCACATAAAAAGAATGCACTGAAACTTTATGTTACTGTAAATAAGAGAGAGGCGAAAGATACCAAAGGGACATTCAAACTCATGTCGAAATTCAACTGACAACCCCATGGCTAAAAAAGAAAAGAAACCAACAGACAAACAACAACACAACAAAGAAAACTAAAGACTGAGCTTCAGAAGGGTAAGCAGATCCTGCTCCACATGTGGCACCTGTTGTGTTGCTCATGTTAGTACAAACCCGGTGATAAGTCTAATTCCATAGGTCACATTCAGGGAAAAGGGGACGGGATTCTAGTTACAACAATTGGATCATATCCGTTGTCATCTGTGAAATACATGTGTTTTTAGTCAAATTTATACCGGGTATATAGTTACCTGTTATTATATTTTTTAGCAATACTGGAAAAGAGCTTATGGTCACTCAGTTAACTGGGGAATGTCTTGTCCATTTGTCAGCAATTCATTTAAACAGTTTAATGACATCATCTATAAAGCTAAGAATGGCGAGGAGTAAGTAAACTTATTGTCTATATTAAGCTTAAATGAACTACAGCATTCACAAATATCAAATGGCTTATGTGTAAATTCTTAAATCAAATATTTGCAAATTTGTCATAGAAAAAATAGGAATGGTCTGTATTGAATCATATCTGAGAACGCATGTGGCCAAAAAAGACAGTTTGTTTGTTTGTTGGTGTTTAACGCCACTTTCTGCTTCCTTGGCTATATCATGTCTTCAAGTTTTTATGGGTAGAGGACGTTTGAGTGCCTGGAGAGAACCACCAAGTCTTCAGCAGGAAAACTGACAATCTTTGTGAATAAAGCATCAAACACTTCTCGGCATGGTATGGGTTCCTTCTCACAACCTCATAGTTGACAGGGGATCACATGATGAACAACTTAGACCACTTGACCAACAACGTCCCCCAACTCAGGTGTACATCAATATTTTTTATTAGAATCTTCCTGAAAAAAAAAATATGAAAAATTCTGAAGCAATGATATTGTGATATGATTGATTGAACCATTGTTGAAAATAATTAATTAGGGCCAGCCACTGGCGGGTCGCCCTATATTGATCAGTCGGTCCGCCGTCCGTTGTAACAAATTGTGTCTGCTCTATATCTAGAGAACCGTTATAATTTCATACTTTATACTTGACATGTATATTAACCAACACCAGAGGGTGTGTCATAATGTTTGTAAAACTTCCTAGGTCAAAGTTCTTCTTATTCTTATTTTCTTATCCTTATAAAAACTTTTTTATATACAGGTTCAACTTGAACAATATCATCATGATTTTTTTTAAGGCATTTTTATTTATTTACATACTATAGCTAATACTGTTTTCACTTGATATTTGTTGTCTGTTAACTTTTTATGCCCCCGTCGTCACCAGAGGGGGCATTAAGTGGTACCCTTGTCCGTTTGTACGTCCCAAATTTGATTTCCCTTCTCTTACTTTAGTTTGCCTCTACCAAATGTTATGAAACTTATACACAATGCTCATTACCACAAAACTTAGATCAAGTTCGAACTTTGGTGGTGTCACTTTTACCGTTTTTGAGTTATGCCTCTTTATAACGTTATATGCAAGCGGGGACATCATCTGTGTCCCTTGGACAAATTATCCATTTTTTTACAGTTCTTGCTCTCTGAAACTAATGAAAATATTGCCATTAACCTTATAGTGATTAGTTTTAGTTTTCTTATTTTATTTTGGTCAATCAACCAAGGTGGTGTGGCCACCATGGCTTATAATAAAACATACAGGTAAACTACAAGTAATTGTCTTAAATCTTGAAAACCAAAATAGATAAAGGAAATCTTACATCAAGGACAAAAATGTTTCAGAATTTCTAGATCCATTTACCCTCCATTTTAATTCAAATTATCAGATGATTCCTTACATGAGTTAATATCCTTAAATAACAATTTCAAAACAATTTTGAGAGTTTTGTCTATTATATTGAAACTTGTGAGGTAGACAGAAAATGTTAACAACATAAATATGATCAATACAAGATGTAAAAACATACCAATATGACTGGAACCCATTAATGACCCATAACTTGTTATATCAATATTATTGGCCTTGAATGACGTTTTTGCATTACTTTCTCTTATCTTGTAAACTGTAATAGACAGATCTAGACAGTAACAAAAAAAGAAAACAATTATTTAAAAATTACTGAAACTATCAATTAATTTGTTATAGGAGTTATTGCCCTTAAATTACTTAGTACTATTTTTGGCATTTTTTTCCCTGTCTATTATCTTGAGAACTATTATAGATCTAGATAAGACATGTATAAAACAGCAAACATGATCAGCAATACAAATATGACTGAAACTATCAATTGTTTAGATTTAACATACATGTATCATACAATGATGGAAGTTCTTAATTTGTTTACGCTAATGGTTTCTTTCTTTTCAGTTATAACGTGGCAGATATACAGTTTGCACATGCAGAAACTATCATTCCAATTTTCACAGCATTTGGTTTATTTAATGATTCCATTCCACTAAAAGCTGATAATTATGAATCTCAAAAGGAACGACAATTTAGAACAAGTAAAATAGTACCAATGTCTGCCAGTTTTGGCATAGGACTATACCAGTGTGAGGCCAGTGAAGATCCAGAAGAGGTTTATGTTGTAAGAATGTTTGTCAATGAAAAACCTGTAGTTATACCTGCATGTGGACAGCAAATATGTGAATACAAACATTTTATGAAGTATTATGATGACTTGGTGAATTGTAATTATGCAGAAATTTGTGAAAACAACAAACTGCATGATGAATTGTGATGAAGGCTTCCAAATAATTAGGAAATTTAAACATCAGTCTCAGTCCCAGGAAAAGAAATTAAATATTTTATTTCAATTCAGATAAAGTATTTGTAGAGTAAGATACACTTTTGAAATTTTTGCATTTTTCTGAAATATCACAGACCAAATGTCAGAGACCATGATCTATTATCAACTTTTGTAAACAAATTACTACGAAGATTTTTGAATATCAACTGACAAATGAAAAATTGCTTAGATATTAATGGGAGTTTTTACATTAAGGGATATGAAAACATGCCTTATAAAGGGCATTGCTATTCAAAGTAGAAATTATTTATTTCTTGGTTTATAAAAACAAGAACTACATTTTGATATTTCTGTGACTTGATATTAACTGTTTCTCTCAACCTTTTGCAGTTCATTCAAAAGTCTTCCCAAATTACTATCTGGTCAGACATTTTAACAAACTGAAGAAACACAGTCTAGTCAACAAAGTGCATGGTGATAAAATGAAGCATATTAAAGATCTATTTAGATTTGAATACCACTTCATCATGTTCATGGCTTCAGAGATATGGTGGCCTAAAATATTAAAGGATATGTTTATTGTTATTTGAATTTGTTTGCATTTATTGTATTTATTGAATTATTTATGTATGAAGACCGTTTGTTTACCTCTAAATATCTTACTGCTTATTTTATCGTTGGGTTGCTGACTCATTCCCATGAATCCATATCTCTTATCATTCTTATTTATTACATTGAAAAAGGATCTTATAAATGCCTCAGAACAAATATTAGTATTAACTTATGACCACAATCTTGGATGACACTTATATTTCGTGTAATATTTGTTGCAAAGTCCATCAGTTAGAGTTAACATGACATTGACCTCATTCCATGGTTCATTGGTCAACATTAAGTTTTTGTTATTAGGTCTGAACATTTCTCCGATACTATAAGTAAAAGGTTTCAACTACCAGTATGTTTGTTGTAAATAATGATTGTAAAGTGTACATGTGTGTCTGTCTGACAGGATTCATCTCACCTTGACAGTATTTTCATGGATCATTGTTATACCTGTAATAAGAACTTGCATGAACTTGAGACTTTCAATATAAAATTCAATCATAATCAGCTGCTATGCAGACAACACATTTCAGCAGGTGCACTTTTATGAAATTATTTCAAACTATAATGAAAACTATTTCTGAATTTTTAAAAAGAAACATGTGTAAGACAATCATAACAGTGAAACTAAATGGGCAAAGTTTGCCTATGTTATATTTTCCTGTATATTACATGTACAAACGAATTACAAAAGATGATAAATTTATATGATAAAAACTGTCTGATGAAAGCTTTATAGGATATTACACATGTGTTTTGAAAATATATGTCTTTTTTATTTAATGTTAATATTTTGAACTCAGTAGAGGACTATTGGAATGCAGTTCATGCATGTTTGGATTTAGACTGAACTCTGCTCTGAATAGTTTAATAAACTGGCAAGTCTGTCCCTATTAATTATCATGGAGCTTGGGGAAAAAATCATTTTATGTAAACATTTACCAGTTTTTAACCATGACAATTTAAGTGTAAAATTTTCTGTAATTTTTTTAGAATTAATGCTTCTTATTGATAGAGAGAAAAAATTTTGAATTTGTGAATAATTTTACCCTTGAACATTCTACATGTATAATTGGAAAATGACATTAAGGTCTAATAACATGTTTCAAAAAATGACAAGAAACTTTTTTCCTTTTTTTGTAACCTCCAAACTTTTGGAGTTGCATTACTCTGTGCTTGCACCAGGACAGTTCATTTTTCTTTTTATTTAATTATTTGTGTTTTTTCTTGGATGGGGGATTCCTTTTTTCTATCCTCCTCCTTTGATGGAAAACTAAAATTGTTACTTGTTCTGGAGTTTTATTAAAATATCTTTGATTATGAAAGTTATTTCTTACTTGCCATATTACAAGTATGACAAGGATAGCCAAAGAAGTTTTTGTTTATGTTATTATTGAATGTTAGTTTATTTACATTTTATAACTTACTTTTACAATTGAGTCTATTAAATATGTCCAAATTTATTTGTTGTTATAGAAGATGTCTAATTATTACAGGAAGATGATCAGCTGAGCCAAAAACTATGAAAAGGTACACATCACTTTCCATTCAACTCACAGGCACATGTGATTCATTACTTATAATAGCAGTACCATCTCAGTGTTTGTCTCAGTTGTGGGAATTCGTGGATTCGTGCCCTGGCTGGGTCAAACTTAAGACTTGAAAATTGTTTTTTTGCTGCTTCTCTGCAAAGCATGCAGCATTTAGGAGTAAGAGCAAAGACTTGTATGCTCGGAGTCAGAATAATGTGTATGAGTAGTTTGAAATGTCTTCCTGCAGACTGTTACCTTGTGAACTAGCATGTAAAAAACATATATTGAAATGTGGTGTGTGTACTTGCCAATGAGACAACTATCCACCAAAGACTAAATGACAAGGATATAAAAAGCTACAAGTTACCTTACAGCGTTCAACTAGGAAAAAAACATATACCATACAGTAAGCTATAGAGCTATTAAAGGCCCAGGGATAACAAGATATTAAAGAAACAATTCAAAAGAGAAAATCAAAAGCCTTATATATATATTCTACAGAAAAAACAAACAAAAAATAATATGTCAATTATGGATGACATCAACAAACAACAAACCCTTGATTACTGGTTTTTGACTCAGAGAGGCACATAAAGAATGAGCCGTTTTAACAGGTTAATGAGTGCTCAACCCTCCCCTACCATGGGACAGTGGTATAACAATACAACAATAAAACAAACAGTAACAAGTAGACAGCAAACCCTTTTTTCTGTATTTTGAAAGTAACCATTTTTTAACTTAAGAAGGCAGCGAGTATGAAAGAAATTGATGTATTCTAATGTGTAGACCTTTTAGGCTTGTTTGAACTGCCACATTTTATGCCTATTTTCCAATCTATCAAGGATAATATGTCCTGAACAATAAAAGTGAATATAATTTATATCAAACTTGACCTCCGTTTTGTAATCAATAACAACTTATTAAAATTTGAAAAGCATTTGCTGAACAATTCATAAGTTATTGTACAGAAACTACATAAAGTGCCATTTTCCAATTTATCAAGAATCACAAATCCTGAACCGCAAAAGTGAAAATCGTCAATATCAAACTTGATCTCCATCATGTCATCAGTAACAACATATGAAAATCTGAAAAGCATTAAATAATAAAGGCCAGTGGTCGAAACGTCTTAAAAATTGGTTTAATAATTACAATAATAAAGATCAGTTAAAAAGCTAATAGAATCATGATACATTTTGTACTAAGCACAAAAAACATCTAACAAAATAAGAAAAAAATAAATTGCTTCGCCGAGCACAGCTGGATACGACCACAGAGGTTCAACCCTGAACAGTTGGGGCAAAAATGGACACAATATTCGCGCTTGATACAGGTCTGAACTTGGATTGTAATTAATATTTGACACATAATAGGTTTCTGACACAGAATAACTGTAGTCAAAGAACTTAGAATTGGTTATATGATTTAAATTTATATTCAATTTTTTGCTTTTGTGCAATACACTATGCTGTTGCGAATTGAACCCCCCCAAAAAAAAAAAATTAAAAAAAATTACCCCCCCTTTTTTTTTTCCTTTTGTGCAATACACTAGGCTGTTGCAAATGACCCCACCCCCCTTTTTAATTTCTGAAATCTGAAATGAGAAAAAATTGTCCCGTCCCTCACAATTTCTTTTTAACTCCCCCAACCCCCAACCCCAATTATTTTTTCACCTCCCCTCCATCAAGATATGGTTATAATCTCAATTCAAATTTCCAATGGAGTTTGCAACCATAATTACCCATTTAAATACATCATAAAAGTCTTATAATAGAAAATGACAAACATAATCATGGCTAAAATTAATATTCCTTAATCAGCATTTTTAGATAGTAACTTCTAAAAAAAAATTGACAGCTAATCACCTCAAGACAATACAACATTTCTTTACACATAATTTAAAAGCAGTGTAAGGGAGGTAATCCAAACATAACATTGTACTTTTTTTTACTTGTCCATAAACCAGGAAACCCTTGTTTTTCCCTCTTTTTTGCCACTAATTCCTAAACGGTTTGAGCCATAACCCCCCCCCCCCCCCCCCCCCAGGCCAATCCTAACCATCCCTTTGTGGTATGGAAACTTGTGGTATAATTTCAGAGAGATCCATACACCGTTCCACAAGTTATTGTCTGGAAACTAGAAAAATGCTTATTTGGGCCCCTTTTTGGCCCCAAATTCCTAAACTGTTAGGACTATAACCCCCAAAATCAATCCCAACCTTCCTTTTGTGGTTATAAACCTTGTGTTTAAATTTCATAGATTTCTATTTACATTTATTAAAGTTATTGTCCGGAAACCAAATGTCTTCGGACGACGCTGACGACGACGACGTGATACCAATATACGACCGCAAAATTTTTTGTGGTCGTATAAAAACTACCAATTTAAATTGACAGGCAGTAACTGAAAGCTAGTTCAAAGCCTTATTTCAACTGATAAATACACCATATTTTCCCAGTCAAAAATATCAATCAGTAAACCTCCAACAGATTTAGGTTAAAGACATCATTATCAGATTCAATAATTTATAGACAGCAATGTTGTAAAGAAGAAGCTTCACATCAGAAATAACTGGATCAAATCAGACTTAACTTTACAAAATATTTAATGAATGACATAAAAGTAAATTATTGTGGTTTTTATCCATGAAATAGTATGACTGCCATGAATAATGATAAATTTTGTTCATAACTTTTAAGTTGCACAGATCAGAAACAAAACACTAATGTCAGGAATATGTTTAATTAAAGATTCATAAGTGGATATATATCAAATATAAAATACCTGGATTCAAGCCTAATCCAACTCATAACTGATCAGTTTGAAACCAAGTTTTCACTTATAGAATTGAATACACATTATTTACTTTAAGAATCTGTTTAAATATTAAACTCATACCTAAAAGGTTATCCTTTTTATTAGCTCACCATTCCAAAGGAACTGTGAGCTTTAGCCATCACTTGGCGTCCGTCATCGTCCTTCGTCGTCGTCATCCGTCGTCGTCGTCCGTCTGGTGTAAACTATTTCAAACATCTTCTCCTCTGAAAGTACTGAACCAATTCCAACCAAACTTAAGCTGAATGATCCTTAGGGTATCTAGAATAAAGTTTATGTTTTATTTTCTGTATTGTCCAAAAACATGGCCGCCATGGCTAAAAATAGAACATAGGGGTAAAATGCAGTTTTTGGCTTATATCTCAAAAACCAAAACAGTTAGAGCAAATCTGACTTGGGGTAAAAGTGTTCATAAGGTAAAGTTCTATCAGCCCTGAAATTTTCAGATGAATCTAATAACCCATTGTTGGGTTGCTGCCACTAAATTGGTAATTTTAAGGAAATTTTGCAGTTTTTGGTTATTATCTTGAATAGTATTAATGATAAAGATAAACTGTAAACAGCAAATATGTTCAGCAAAGTAAGATTTACAAATAAGTTTATATGACCAAAATTGTCAATTGACCCCTTAAGGAGTATTGTCCTTTGAGGACAATTTTACACAATTTGTTTATCATGTTTTCTAACTTTAAAAAATCTTCACTTCTGAAACTACTCAACCAATTCCAACCAAACTTAAGCTGAATGATCCTTAGGGTATCTAGAATAAAGATTGTGTTTTATTTTCTGTTTCGTCAAAAAACATGGCCACCATGGCTAAAATTAGAACATAGGGGTAAAATGCAGTTTTTGGCTAATATATCTCAAACACTTAAGCAATTAGAGCAAATCTGATGAGAGGTTAAAATGTTCATTAGGCCAAGTTCTATCAGCCATGAAATTTTCAGACAAATCTAACAGTCCATTGTTGGGTTGCTGCCACTAAATTGGTAATTTTAAGGAATTTTGCAGTTTTTGGTTATTATCTTGAATATTATTAATGATAAAGATAAACTGTGAAATGTGTCCTTAAGGAGTTATTGCCTTTAAAGACAATTTTTCACAATTTGTTCATCTAGTTTGCTTACTTTAAAAAATCTTCTCCTTTGAAACTGCTGAATCAATTTCAGCCAAACTTGGGCTGAATGAGTTTCAGAGTATCTTGTATAAATTTTGTATTTTATTTTCTTGGACGTCAAGAAACATAGCCACTATGGCTAAAATGGAACATAGGGGTAAAATGTATTTCTTTGCTTTTGAAGAAAATATGACAGATACAAAGAACAACTCAATGGAATTTTTAAGCCACTCATTAATATATATTAAAAAGCAAAAATAATCACTGATGAAAGATTTAAGCAAAAAATTACAGGTGAGCGATTCAGGCTCTTGAGAGCCTCTTGTCTAAAACTAATGACTTTGCACCCACTTCCAATCTAAACGTAAATAATAGTGTGTTCAGGGATTTGTAGGTTTCACAACAAGTGAAAATTGGATATTGCTTGATATCAACTCAAGTTATTGAATTTCAATGTTCATAAACTGTTAACACAGAGATATGTCTTGTCTTTTTGCTATTTTGATAGTAAAATGCAAATGTTATAATTAAAATAGCAATACTATAACATGTAAGTTATGCAAATATTCAAAGTCAATGAACCATGACTAACAGTACAGGGCAAAACAATTTCCATGGAAATGAGATGTGCCAATGTTACTAAAACTGCATACCAAATATCATTGACCTACCACCAGTGGTTCCCCATAAACTGACCTAATCACAAACTAATACATGTACGTGTAAACTCCGTGAGTTTCAAAATCAATAGACCATGACTGAGGGGGTGGGGCCAACTATCTCCATGGAAATGAGATGTGCCAATTCTAACACAACTGCATACTAAATATCACTGACTTGCCACCATTGGTTCCCCATTAACTGACCTAATTACAAACTAATACATGTAAACTTAGCAAAGTTTCAAAGTCAATAGACCATGACTGAGGGGGCAGGGCCAAATAATCTCCATGGAAATGAGATGAGCCAATGCTAATAAAACTGCATATCAAATATCATTGACCATCCACAAGTGGTTCCCCATTAACTGACCTAATTGTTGACCCCGCCACCCACTCCCTCAGAAACAGCATACCTAAGTCTTGCTTTTTGACTTTTTTGGTCAAGGCAAAAATGAGTAGAAAACCTGATAATTTATATATATTCTGTAATTAGAAGTAGGTTTGCGGAATTAAAACAGATACCAGAGCCTTTACAGGTTAATTAAATCTTCTTACCTAACTATCTGAAAATAGCCAATAGTGTGGAAAATGGCAATAAACATCCAACAATAAATCAATCAATGACAATAACACTGAATAATATCTCTTGTTCAAGTTAAGGCAAGAACAATCAGATACACATCAATAATAAGGTGCCATACAGCAAAGTAGGCTTCCTTACAACAAGGTCTTGTCCTCGATGGTTTTACTGTTGGTCATTAGACATCTATTCACATAACATGACTTAAAGACAATACAAAGGCTTGGCTTGCATGTCAAGACCTTGTTTACCATTTTGCATGATATTTTAGGACAGTTCATTTACTTGTATACAAATTCGAAAAAAAATATTTTCACATTTTTATTACTATATATATAAATATTTGTTATTTTACAGTATCACAGATTAATAGCAACATAAAACATTGATGCAGTTTAAAATTGTATCAACTTACTATGGACAACTGTTAACATAAATTTGCTCAAGTACAAAAAATTATGACAAAATAAATGATATGGTGAACCAAAATTGCACCATGTACCAAATTTGCACCCATTTTGCATAAAGAGCGATGGGTATCTTATATGTTTTTTAGAGACTAAACAATTCATATTTTTATCTTTTATCATTATGCAAGTCTTTCAACATAGCTAAATTTTTCAAAGATGCACAAAACGGTCAAATTATATATCAAAAGATGAAGTATCCAGTGAAAAAAGTAAAATTTACTGAAATGTTGTTTTCCACTTCTACAAAAATGTCGACTTATAAAAATAAGGAATTAAAATATGTCACAGACAACTATTTAATACAAAATTCACAACAAGCATGGACTATTGTCAAACTGTTTTAAAAAATGTGGAAAAAAATAAAACAAAACATTATTTATATGATTTTTTACGGATGTGTATTTATGTCTGGGTGTAATTTAGGTACTCCTCATTACAGAATCTTGGGTCTTTAGAGGTAGGTTAAAACAAATTTTTCGATGATTCAATGTGGGTTCAAGATAAAATATGTTCAACTTTATAGTAAATAAGGATGCATCTACAAAATAAATACAAAATGAAAACTTTTTGTCTGTTTCTTGAATAAATGAAGGTAAAAAAACTGTCAAAATAGGTGCAATTTGGGTACCCTCACATTACAATCTAGTAGGAGAAATTCAAGCACCATTCAAACAGAAAAAATTTAGAGTTAAATTAATAATGAAGAAACAAATTTAAACTATTGTGCATACCTCATATAATGCATCTTGAAGATCTCAAAATAATATATGTACGTGTATTGCATAAAAATATTGTTATAATAAACAAATATTTCTACAGAAATATAGCTTTCCTTTTACATTACTTAAAAGTATTGAACAAATCATAAAATCAATATCATCCCAATATAAAATTAATTTTGAATTGCAACATGTTTATACAATAACAAGAAATCTAAACTGTAAAAGGTCTCAGTTTGAATGATAAATAATTGGTACTGTTAGCTTGCGAGTTCTTTTTACTGCAACAACAGAAAAAAAAACCCAAATAGATCAATATAATTTACCAAAACCTGAAAGCACACATATATTTTAAGTGAATATTACAGGTTCATAAGCATTTTATGCCCACATTCATTAAATTTACCCTAGTTCACAACACATCTTCAAAACTGTTTGCATTATGTAAAGATACAAAATTTACAATAATAAAATATGATATAGCTTACAAAATAACTAGATGGTGGGTGTTCTATTAGACATCTGCCACAGAAAAGCTAGCTGGCTAAGCATAAAGTGTATGTAATGACACCCTAAAATGTTCATAACAATATAATACACAATAGTGAATTATAATTCATACACCATGATGAGAGCTGCTGATAAATGTTGACCAAAATATGAAATATAACTATTTCCTCAGGCATGAAATAGGAGTTCTGAACTGTTGTATACCATTCAACAATATTTTTACCATATATATCAACTTTCTATTTTCTAAACTTCTCATGAGGAGAAGGAAAACAACTTGAATTGGATGGTAAGAATATTTCTTTACTTACTTTTTATTAACAACTTTTTCTCTAACAATCAGCTATAATATATTTATCTGTTTATCTGTTTGGTTGAAGAGATAGGTGTATCTTCCTTTTTGCCAAACAAAAGTTTGTTAACCAGCTTTAATTACTTTGATTGACATTTAATTATAAATAATAATATATTTCATATTCAGCAATATTCTTTTGTCAGCAAGAATGTACGATTACAAAAAAATTATTGTTTTACAACATAACTAAAACAAGGTTAAAATAGTTAAAACAAGATGTACTGTAAATTCAGAAATTATTGCCATTTTGTCAATTTAGACCAAAATGCTATTATTATTTTTGCGATACTGAGAAAAATCCCCCTTCATTCATATAAAAATAAATGTGGATAGTGTCCACATGTGGACACAGATGATGCACCCGCTTGCATATTATATAGTTATAAAGGGACATAACTGAAGAACGGGATCTGAGTTTTGTGGTAATAAGCATTGTGTGTAAGTCTCATAACATTTGGTTGAGGCTAACTTAAGAAGAGAACAGATACTAAAAATTCAGCAATTTTTCTATTTGTAAACACGCATAACTCTAGAGAGGTTGTGTATAAGTTTTATAACATTTGGTTGAGACAAACTAAAGTTAGAGAACGGAAATGAAAAATTCAGCAATTTTTATGTTTATAAAGGGACATAACTCAAGAATGGTAAAAGTGTCGCCACCAAATTTCGTACTTAATCTGTATTATGTAGTAACAAGCATTGTGTATATGTTTCATAACATTTGGTTGAGGCAAACTAAAGTTAGAAAACGGAAACAAAAAGTTTGTACTTGATCTTAGTTTTGTGGTAATGAATATTGTGTATAGGTTTCATAATGTTTGGTTGGGGCAAACTTAAGTTACAGAATGGAAACTAAAAATTTTGCAATTTTTCGTTTTATAAAGGGGCACAACTCAATAATGGTTAAAGTGACACTACCCAAATTCAACTTGATCTGTGTTTTATCACTGGAAGTCAAAATTAAACATTGCATTGTATAAAGCATTGATTGTAGTTGATTCAACTATAATCATGGACAAAGGAAGATAACTCCAATTTTAAAAATTACTTGATATTTAGAAGAAAATAAAATTTTGCAATTTTTTCCATTTATAAAGGGGCATAACTCTAGAACGGTTAAAGTGACGCCACCAAAATTCAAACTTGATCTGTGTTTTGTGGTAATAAGCATTGTGTATAAGTTTCATAACATTTGGTTGAGGCAAGCTCAAGTTAGAGAACGGAAACCAATTTTGGGACGTACGTACAGACGGACAAGGGTAAAACGCTATGGCGGGGGCATAAAAATCCAAAATGCGAGTTAAAACTATTGCGATTACAACCCTGTCGCATTTTTCGCAATAATTTCCGAATTTACAATACATGTATACACTCGCTAAAGATTTATTTTTTTGGCAAACAGGAAGTAGAACATAAGGAAAACTTAAACATGTGATACACAATATGGAATAACCAGATGAATTCGATGCCATATATACAGCCATGACTTGTACTTACCGAGATAAAAATGTGTCACAATATATGCAATATATACTTATCATCAAATGTTCACATTTATAGAATTTACAATGAGAATAATAATTCATAATCAATCCTGATTAATAAATAAACACTATATCAGGTAATTTTTATAAAGGATGTTCCAGAAAAAAGAACTCTTATTTTGTCAAAGCTCTACTATTTTAATTCTTGCAAAATGATTGTGCAATTCTTGAACCTTCTATCAGATTTACCAGGGAACACGATAATATGTCCATACGACACCTCACACTTTTACATATCCATGTTCAGTGAAACATGAAATCTAGGTCAAGATCCTAATTTTAAATATATTTTTGTAAAGTTTGCATCTTAATGAACATGTGTACTAAGTTTCAAGATGACCTGATCACAGCTTCATAGTAAACTGTCTTAAACCAAAACTTTGATATGCTTCAGGATATCAAACAGACAGACAGACACACAGACAAAGTACCTTCAGAGACCAACAAGAAAATTTTTCGGGAACAACTCTTATAATAAAAACCCCATCCCTGGTGATTATAGATAAATAAAAGTCCTATTAATGATTTAATTTAAACAAGAGATATTATCATATTAGTAAATGCATGTTGATTACATAACATCCAGTGGCAAATATTTCATATGTATATAGAGAATAAATCATAACAATATATTAAGTGTGATCTTATAATATACATAATGATATGAAGTGTTAGTAAAGATATTTACACTTTCTTAAGTTAAATTTATGACAAAAATTGATAACGATAATAACAATACATCCTTAGATCTATGCCTTATAACTGACTGAGGTCTTGTCCTGGTGTTGATTATCATTTTTCCTGCTGAATGTTATTGCACATGACAACTAAGTGGTCCCATGAATAAGGAGGATAATGAAACATTTAAATCTGATGGTGAAAGAATATAAAGTTTAAATTGCATTATATTTGTTTATCATCAAATCAGTATGATGCCATTATGTGTCAGAATCCTTTTTCACAATTCTCATGCAACTGTCATTTGACTGTCAAATAACAAGTAAACTTTTTTTTAATTTAAGGGAAATCAAGCACCAGATAAATACTCTGACTGTATTAGAGAACTTTTGCCATTTAATTATCAGACATTACAAATAAAGTTTTTAAGTATGATCCCACTGAGCATCAAATTTCACAGTTATACAACTTAATCAAATCATAGTTTAGCATGACATGATTATCCTTCGTAATGATTGTTCAGCAAATACAACTACTTGTTCACTCCCCTGTCAAGAATTCTCCTGTTTGGGAGATAAAAAGTTCCAGTCCATAGAAAATAGTTCCTCTTGCTCTAATATAACATGGTCCACAATGTCACCTAGTCTGTAAATATAGGTTCAAATATTTATAAGAAAATATGCATTTTGGTTGTCCAATTATCTTCAAGGTTTAAAAATACATACAGATATGAAAACCTTTTGTACATGTATTTCAATATTCTACGGTTTTCATTTTACAAACAAATAACCTCTACTCCTCTAGATGCATTTTAGTTTTGTTTTGTTGGATAGCTGACTCTTATGTAACCCTACATCTCCTTTTAACTATGAATGCTAATATTTATATTTCATGTAAGATTTTATTTCAATTTTTCATTAATCATATTTTCCCATATACATGTATGTTGAAGACTGCAACAGGATAAATTTAGCAGCATTTTGTCATTGCACTTAGGCAATACACATCTTAACTTGCTATATGTTTAGCAAATATGAATCTTAACTTGCTATATGTTTAGCAAATATGAATCTTAACTTGCTATATGTTTAGTAAATATGAATCTTAACTTGCTATATGTTTAGCAAATATGAATCTTAACTTGCTATATGATTAGCAAATATGAATCTTAACTTTCTATATGTTGATGCAATATGAATATATGAAGGATGTTTGTAAACATATATCATAATAAAATGCTCCGCAGGGCGCAGCTTGATACGCCCGCAGAGGTCGAACCCTGAACAGTTGGGGCAAGTATGGACACAACATTCAAGCTTGATACAGCTTTGCATTTGGATTGTGATTAAATATTTGACACAGCATAGGTTTCTGACACAGAATGAATGTGGTCTAAGAACTTAAAAATTTTAAATTGGACATTCACCTATTATGGTCCAATATCCAAAATCTAAATACATGGTTAGATTCAGCATATCAAAGAACCCCAAGAATTCAATTTTTGATGAAATCAAACAAAGTTTAATTTTGGACCCTTTTGAACTCAATGTGGACAAAGTTGATAACGGGGCCCAAAAATCAAAATTCTAAATACATGGTTAGATTCAGCATATCAAAGAACCCCATATATTCAATTTTTGTTGAAATCAAACAAAGTTTAATTTTGGACCCCGATTTGGACCAACTTGAAAACTGGGCCCATAATCAAAAATATAAATACATGTTAAGATTCAGGATATCAAAGAACCCTAAGAATTCAATTTTTGTTAAAATCAAACTAAGTTTAATTTTGGACCCTTTGGACCTTAATGTAGACCAATTTGAAAACTGAACCAAAAATTAAGAATCTAAATACACGGTTAGATTCGGCATATCAAAGAACCCCAATAATTCAATTTTTTATGAAATCAAACAAAGTTTAATTTTGGACCCTTTGGACCTCAATGTGGACCAATTTAAAAACCGGGTCCAAAATCCAAAAACTAAATACACAGTTAGATTCAGCATATTAAAGAACCCCAAGAATTCAAGAATAAAACCCCATTGAAATTGGTCAAGAAATAAGCAATTTATACGAAGTATCTTCTTTTGTACAATACTGTGCAATTAAATATTTCTTGCTATTGCGCAATACTGTACAATTGACAATTTCTTGCTATTGCGCAATATTGTGCTATTGGATATTTCTTGCTATTGCACAATACTGTGCAATTGAAGATTTCTTGCTATTGCGCAATACTGTGCAATTGAAGATTTCTTGCTATTGTGCAATACTGTGCAATTGAAAATTTCTTGCTATTGCACAATACTTATTATATAATAATTTACACATCCTGTTTGGTGTGTATCTCCTACCATATCATTATTATTTGCTTTTAAATATAAATCAGAAATAACCAACTTAAAATGGAAAATTTTAAAAGAAAAAAAAAAGGAAAAAAAGAAAAAAAAGGAAAAAAAAAAAATCCCCCCCCCCCCCAAAATTTTTTAAACCCCCTTATGATTCATCACCCCCAAACTCAATCCCAGCCTTCCCTTTGTGGTATGGTACCTTGCAGTACAATTTCAGAGAGATACATACACTTGAACACAAGTTATTGTCTGGAAACTAGAAAAATGCTTATTTTTGGCCCCTTTTTGGCCCCAAATTCCTAAACGTTTAGGGCAATTACCCCCAAACTCAAACCCAGCTTTCCCTTTGTGATATGGAACCTTGTAGTTCAATTTCAGAAAGATCCATACACTAACACACAAGTTATTGTCCTGAAACTAGAAAAATGCTTGTTTTTTGCCCCTTTTTGGCCCCTAATTCCTAAAATATTGAGGCAATTACCCCCATCATCAATCCCAGCCTTCCCTTTGTGGTATGGTACCTTGCAGTACAATTTCAGAGAGATCCATACACTTGAACACAAGTTATTGTCTGGAAACTAGAAAAATGCTTATTTTTGGCCCCTTTTTGGCCCCCAATTCCTAAACGTTTCGGCAATTACCCCCAAACTCAATTCCAGCTTTCCCTTTGTGATATGGAACCTTGCAGTACAATTTCAGAAAGATCCATACACTTACACACAAGTTATTGTCATGAAACTAGAAAAATGCTTGTTTTTTGCCCCTTTTTTGGCCCCTAATTCCTAAAATTTTGAGGCAATTACCCCCAAAATCAATCCCAGCATTCCTTTTGTGATATGGAACCTTGTGGTACAATGTCAGAGAGATCCATACACTAACACACAAGTTATGTCTGGAAGTTACAAAAATGCTTATTTTTGGCCCCTTTTTGGCCCCTCATTCCTTTACTGTTGGTACCATAACCCCCAAAATCAATCCCAACCTTCCTTTTGTGGTATTGAACCTTGTGGTAAAATTTCATAGAGATCCATTCACTTAAACTAAAGTTAGAGTGCGAAAACCAATGTGTCTTCGGACGACGCCGGACGACGCCAGAAGACGACGACGACGACGACGACGCCAACATCATACCAATATACGACCACAAAAATTTTTTTGCGGTCGTATAAAAAGATACTGACATGTCTGTTTTGTTTTATTGTGTCAATGGGTTGCTGTCCCACTGATGTATATATATATTTATTAATTTCATTTCAGTCATACTGACAAATGAAAATTCAGAAATTATTGCGTGAATTTATTATTGTGATTTCTTAAAGAATGGACAAAAATGCAAGATTAATTATTGCAATTTCAGGAAAATCTGCATACATATATATATATTTTGGAAAATGTTGTTTGTGCTGTATTTAGACCCCTCTACAAAGAAATTTGTTTTGCATGCACACATATAAAAACTGCTGTTTTTATCCAACGCAATCATAAGTTTGAACGTTGTTTTCAATTTAGACTTGTTTATATTTTTTCGTTTGGGCTTGTATTATATTTGCCTTCGAGTTTATATGATTCGTTCATCCTATTTCGACTCTTCAAAATTCAAGAGTCAATTATTCATGGCAGATTTTCTTTTATATATCTTCTTTGTTCTTCTACATTAGGAAAGAAAAATTTACAAAAAGACATGGTTTTTAGTCTATAAGGATCAATATATATAGCTATTTTCACGGGAAAAAAAATTATGAAAAAAAACCTCAGGTGTTAATATAAAATCTTCTTTCTCCTTTACTTCCATCACCATGGACACCATATCTTATTTCTAGGAAAACTTGGTTATGGTGGATAGCTAGTATTACTTACTTTTTATTTAAATCTTTGGAGCTGGCAACAACTTTGCTGGTTTCCATTGAAGATTCACCACAGATAGACATTAGCATGCTAACCTGTTCATTAGAAGAGGTACTGGATTTAGAATCTTGTCGATTAATCATGTTGTTCTTTAACTGCAAAATATTGCATGTAAACATAAATATTTTGTATTATTTGTATAATGTTTTGATTAGTCCCTTATCATTTGATATTCTTGGTTAAATTAGCAAAGTGCTAAAAATATTCAACCTTATAAACTAAATATAAAGACCTTAAGATAAAGTGAGTCTTTAGTGAACTCTGAAACGTTCCACATATATATGCTGTATTAGGTAATTCAGATTACTTGAAAGATCACTATAATTCTTTACTATTAAAATATGTAATGGATTGCTTTTTCTGCAACCATCCCTCTTTAAAAATGACAAAGTTATAACTTCTGTAAACAAAATTATTTTCGCAAGCGAATTATTTTCGCAACTTTTGCGAGTACAAAAATATGTCAAATATAATTTGTTGCAAATGTGTCAAACTTCGATTTTTCCTTATCTGACTATATCAAGTAAATTTGAAAATCCAAAATCAAATGGCTATGAAGTGGGCTAGAAAGGGCTTAAGTCCAAATAAGTATCTGTGAAAAGAAGTTAGTTTACAGTATTTAGATATGACCAACTCAAATTTTCCAAATTTGACTGTTGTGCTACCTTTAAAGACTCTAAAAAAAATACCATTTTACAATAAAATATATTCCAGCTTATCAATTCTGCCATTTATTTATATCTTAAAAATCTAAAACTGATAAATTGAATCCATAAAAAAATATACTTCTATATTAATCATAAAAATTTCATATCAAATTGCATAAAAAGCATGTAAAAAAAAACTTATCAGAGATACCATATTCATAATTATGTATGCCAGACACACCTTTAGTCTACAAAAGACTCGTAAGTGACCCTCGAATAATAGAGGTAAAAGGTGAAAGTTGAAGAGAATTGAGGACTCAAAAGGCTGACAAAGGTTGTATCATTTACATGTACAACCAGATTCCGTATTTTTTACCCAGAAATGTAAAATTTATACTTACAGTGTAATTAAGTAATTTCCATATGTTATCTTGACGTTGTTTTTGTATACTTAATAAATTTTTGTTAACCTCTGCCAATTCTCTATTTTGTTGTTTAATCTCCGGTTCTAACTGGGACAGTTCACACTTACATGAACATATTTTTCTGAAAATTTACAAACCAATTACATTCATGAAATACATAAAATGATAAGGGAGGGGGTGTTCTCAACATCGGTACAGACGTCTGGTTTGGGTTTAATAACGACCCCCCATTAATATATTGTTGTATGCGAAAATCTCTACACATTCATACATTTCATAGGAAAGTCATAACCCATTGATCTATTTTCCTAGCTATCAGAAATAAGACATCTTTAGATGTAAACCACATAGGATCATTCATATTATTAGACAAAAAGATCAGTATACAGTTTTTACAGACATCTTAACAGACGATGAAGATTTTTGACCTATTGACATATAAATTTCTACCCATTGTTATAATACCTCTGCAAAATTGCACCCCATTGATATACTTGACATTCCAAAATAAAATGCTCCGCTGGGGCGCAGCTTGATACGACCGCAGAGGTCGAACCCTGAACAGTTGGGGCAAGTATGGACACAACATTCAAGCTTGATACAGCACTGAATTTGGATTGTAATTAAATATTTGACACAGCATAGGTTTCTCACACAGAATGAAAGTAGTCTAAGAACTTAAAATTTTTTAATTTACCTATTCAAACCATATCATTATTATTTGCTTTTATATATAAATCAGAAATAACCAATTTAAAATGGAAAATTTTAAAGAAAAAAAAGGAAAAAAAAATCCCCCCCCCAAATTTTTTGAAACCCCCTTATGATTCATCACCCCCAAACTCAATCCCAGCCTTCCCTTTGTGGTATGGTACCTTGCAGTACAATTTCAGAGAGATCCATACACTTGAACACAAATTATTGTCTGGAAACTAGAAAAATGCTTATTTTTGGCCCCTTATTCCTAAACGTTTTGGGCAAGTACCCCCAAACTCAATTCCAGCTTTCCCTTTGTGATATGGAACCTTGTAGTACAATTTCATAAATATCCATACACTTACACACAAGTTATTGTCATGAAACTAGAAAAATGCTTGTTTTTTGCCCCCTAATTCCTAAAATTTGGAGGCAATTACCCCCAAAATCAATCCCAGCATTCAAACCCTCAATCAGCATCATTTAACAGTAATATCTAAAAATGGAAATTACATAATAAAGGTATTAAAATAGAAAATGACATCATAGTCATGGCTAATAAACTGCTTCGCTGAGCGCAGCTAGATACGCCCGCAGAGGTCCGACCCTGAACAGTTGGGGCAGAAATGGACACAATATTCAAGCTTGATTCAGGTCTGAATTTGGATTGTAATTAAATATTTGACATATTATAGGTTTCTGAATAAATGTATTCAAAGAACTTAAATTGGTTATATGAATTGAATTTATATTCAATTAAAAATTTCTTGCTGTTGTGCAACACATAGTAAATCTGTTGTCAAGACTATAAACAAATAAAGTTCAATTAATTCTCAATGCCATATTAGAAATTTATGAAAATAAAAAGGGAGCTTACATCAATAGATATAAACAATTCACCAAAGTTTCATAAGAATTGGTGACAGCATTTTTGAGTTATTGTCTGAAAACTGGAAAATCACCCTTTTTTTAATGAATAAAACCCCATAACTCAGAAATGTTAAATGTAAAATTTATAAAATTCTAAAGAGAGTTTACATCAATACATACAAACAATTCACCAAAGTTTCATAAGAATTGCTGAAAGCATTTTTGAGTTTTTGTCCGAAAACTGAAAAATCCCCCCTTTTTTTATGGATAAAACCCTGTAACTCGGAAACGTAAAATCTAAAATTTATAAAAATCAAAAGAGAGCTCATGTTAATAGATATAAACAATTCACCACAATTTCTTGCAAGTTGGTGAAAGCATTCTTGACTTATTGTCCGAAAACTGGAAAATCCCCCTTTTTTTAATGAATAAAACCCCATAACTGGGAAACGTAAAATCTAAATTTTATAAAAAACGAAAGGGAGCTCACGTCAATAGATATAAACAATTCACCAAAGTTTTATGCAAATTGGTTAAAGCATTCTTGAGTTAATGTCCGACATGTTGACGACGGACAGACGGACGGACAGACGGACAGACGGACGGACGGACAGACGGACAACGGTATACCATAATACGTCCCGTAAACGGGCGTATAAAAATAAACAAAATCCTTAATCAGCAACATTTTACAGTAATATCTAAAAATAAAATTCCTTTGTAACCATAAAAGCCCATTTAAATACATCATGACAGATATTAAAATAGAAAATGACATCATAGTCATGGCTAAACATAGCAAAAACCTTAATCAGCATCATTTAACAGTAATATCTAATAAACTGCTTCGCTGAGCGCAGCTAGATACGCCCGCAGAGGTCCAACCCTGAACAGTTGGGGCAAAAATGAACACAATATTCAAGCTTGATTCAGGTCTGAATTTGGATTGTAATTAAATATTTGACATATTATAGGTTTCTGAATAAATGTAGTCAAAGAATTTGAAATTGGTTATATGAATTGAATTTATATTCAATTAAAGATTTCTTGCTGTTGTGCAATACTTAGTAAATCTGTTCAATTAATTCTCAATGTCATATTAGAAATTTATGAAAATAAAAAGGGAGCTTACATCAATAGATATAAACAATTCACCAAAGTTTCATGAGAATTGGTGACAGCATTTTTGAGTTATTGTCCGAAAACTGGAAAATCACCCCTTTTTTAATGAATAAAACCCCATAACTCAGAAATGTAAAATGTAAAATTTATAAAATTCTAAAGGGAGCTTACATCAATACATACAAACAATTCACCAAAGTTTCATAAGAATTCCTGAAAGCATTTTTGAGTTTTTGTCCGAAAACTGGAAAATGCCCCCTTTTTTATGAATAAAACCCTGTAACTCGGAAACGTAAAATCTAAAATTTACAAAAATGGAAAGGGAGCTCATGTCAATAGATATAAACAATTCACTGCAATTTCTTGCAAGTTGGTGAAAGCATTCTTGACTTATTGTCCGAAAACTGGAAAATCCCCCTTTTTTTAATGAATAAAACCCTATAACTCGGAAACGTAAAATCTAAATTTTATAAAAAACGAAAGGGAGCTCACGTCAATAGATATAAACAATTCACCAAAGTTTTATGCAAATTGGTTAAAGCATTTTTGAGTAAATGTCCGACATGTTGACGACGGACAGACGGACGGACGGACAGACGGACAACGGTATACCATAATACGTCCCGTAAACGGGCGTATAAAAATAAAAATTTCTTTGCAACCATAAAAGTAAAATAGAAAATGACATCATAATCATAGCTAAAAATAAACAAAAATTTTTTTTATTACCAAATTTTAAATGGAGTTTATTAAACTAAAACAATACATTTGCAACCATAAAACCCCATTTAAACACATCATAAAAGTATTAAATAATTCAACTACATCATAAGGCTATAAAAATAGAAAATGACTTCATAGTCAAGGCTAAAGGTAAACAAAAAACCTTCATCAGCAAAATTTTATATTGGCAAATTTCCAGTGAAGTTTATTATACTAAAATTGTTGGCAAATTTCCAATGCATTTATTAACAATAAAGTTATTGGCAAATTTCCAATTTACATAATTTAAAAGCAGTGTAAGTGAGATATTTAAATGAGTTTGAATTACCAACCTTACACTGCTTTTAAATAATGTTTTGTACTTATTTGTCTATTAACCTGGAAACCCTTGTTTTTTCACCTTTTTTTCCCTTATTATTTAAAGGTTTGAGCCATAACCCTACCCCAAAGCCAATTCTTAAATTCCAATGTAACCTAAATTTACAATATACATAACTTCAATTTAAGTTTTTGATAAAATCAAACCACATCATTATTATTTGCTTTTATATCTAAATCAGAAATAATTAACCAACTTTAAGTGGAAAATTTTCACACATCACGCCCCCCCAAACTCAATCCCAGCCTTCAGTTTGTGGTATGGTACCTTGCAGTACAATTTCACAGAGATCCAATTACTTAAACACAATTAATTGTTGGAAACTAAAAAAAAATGCTTATTTTTAACCCCTTTTTTAGCCCCTTATTCCTAAACATTTGAGCAATTATCCCCCAAACTCAATTCCAACTTTCTCTTTGTGATCAAAATTAACCAACTTAAAATGGAAAATTTTAAAGAAAAAAAAAAGGAAAAAAAATCCCCCCCCCAAATTTTTTGACCCACTTCCCTTTGTGGTATGGTACCTTTAAGTACAATTTCAGAGAAATCCATACACTTGAACACAAGTTAATGTCTGGAAACTAAAAAAAATGCTTATTTTTGCCCCCTTTTTTGGCCACTTATTAATAAATGTTTTGGGCAAACATTTTACAATAATATTTAAAACTGAAATTAATTTGTAACCTTAAAATTAAATAGAAAATGACATCATAGTCATAGCTAAAAATAAACAAACTATTGGTAAATTTCCAATGGAGTTTATTATATTAAAACAATAAATTTGCAACCATAAAAGCGCATTAAAATACATCATTAAAGTATTAAAAAAAATTTAACTACATCATAAGGCTATTAAAATAGAAAATGACATCATAGTCAGACTAAAGGTAAACAAAAAACCTTCATCAGCAAAATTTTATATTGGCAAATTTCCAATGAAGTTTATTATACTAAAATAATTGGCAAATTTCCAATTTACATAATTCAAACATAGTGCAGGTGAGATATTTAAATGAGTTTGAATTACCAACCTTACACTGCTTTTAAATAATGTTCTTTACTCAATTATTTGTCTATTAAAATGGAAACCCTAGTTTTTTAACCTTTTTTCCCCTTATTCCTTAAACGAACAAAAATAATTACCCCTTTTTTGACCCCCCCCTCCTATGATTCATCACCCCCCTTCCCCCCTAAACCAAGCTCAATAACAGCCTTGCCTTTGTGGTATGGTACCTAGTAATACAATTTTAGAGAGATCCATACACTTGAACACAAGTTATTGTCTAGAAACTAAAAAATGCTTATTTTTCACCCCTTTTTAGGCCCCTTATTACTAAACGTTTTGGGCAATTACCACAAAACTCAATTCCAGCTTTCCCTTTGCGAAATGGAACCTTGTAGTAAAATTTCAGAAAGATCCATACACTTACACACAAGTTATTGTCATGAAACTAGAAAAATGCTTGTTTTTTGCCCCCTTTTGGCCCCTTATTCCTAAAATTTCGAGGAAATTAACCCCAAAATCAATCCCATCATCGACCCTTTGTGATATGGAATCTTGTAGTACAATGTCAAAGAGATCCATACAATAACACACAAGTTATGTCTGGAAGTTACAAAAATGCTTATTTTCGGCCCCTTTTTGGCCCCTCATTCCTTTACTGTTGGTACCATAACCCCCAAAATCAATCCCCACCTTCCTATTGTGGTATTGAACCTTATGGTAAAATTTCATAGAGATCCATTCACTTAAACTAAAGTTAGAGTGCGAAAACCATTGTGTATTCGGACGACGACGCCGGACGACGACGACGACGACGCCAACGTCATACCAATATACGACCACAAAATTTTTTTGCGGTCGTATAAAATGTTACTCATACCAGCGGCACGTCTTTATATAGAATAGATCCTGGTGGTACTTTCATTAATAATAATGATAATTAAAATTTAAACTATGTGCCAGATTTATAACAATAAATGTAAAAGTTTATACTTTTTTTAAAAGTAATTTGTCAATCATTTCAAATTTAGCTCATTGTATATTAATTATGTTAACATGATGAGTAAAAGCCAGGTTCCATTTACATATAGAAAACTATTGAATAGTTTGCAATATTGCCTGAAATCATTTTTATGTACACAAATAATGTGTTTGCGCTAGCTTTTTAAGACAAGATATAATCATTTCCTACATTCTCATTCTTGCATTTCCATGCTTTTGTCCTTGTCCAAATTTTATTATCAGAAATTTTTACTGTTATCCATGTTTATGAAACATTGATCACTTTTACATAGCAAACATTTTTAAAATTGTGTTTGATGCTAATAAACATGAAGGTAATTAGAGAAGAAATGATAGTACTATTCTAATAGAAAAAAAATGTAGACGTATTCAAAGACTTAAATAAATGTATAGCCCATTTCAACAGTAGCATGGATTTGTGTGCTATAGTTTTGTTATATTACTTTTTACTTGTTATAACAAACTTCAAATCAAGTGTGTAAAATAACTTACGATAGATGTGTAAAAAGATCATGTAGACTGCTATCCCTTGTAATCACACACTTAACTACAACCTGGACCATTTGTTTATGGTCTTTTACATTCTCTTTAGCTACTAATAAACAATTTGAAATATATATTTAAGAACATAAACAGATCTTATCAAGATAGTTCCTACTTTTCTCAATTTCATTATTTCCACATTGTGTCTTATTTTTATGAATTATATTTAAATGTATTATATGGTTATGTTTTTATACGACTGCAAAAAATTTTGTGGTCGTATATTGGTATCACATCGTCGTCCGAAGACATTTGGTTTCCGGACAATAACTTTATTAAATGTAAATAGAAATCTATGAAATTTAAATACAAGGGTTATAACCACAAAAGGAAGGTTAGGATTGATTTTGGGGGTTATAGTCCTAACAGTTTAGGAATTAGGGGCCAAAAAGGGGCCCAAATAAGCATTTCTCTAGTTTCCAGACAATAACTTGTGGAACGGTGTATGGATCTCTCTGAAATTATACCACAAGTTTCCATACCACAAAGGGATAGTTAGGATTGGCTTTGGGGGGGGGGGGGTAAAAAAGAAATTGTGGGGGGGCAATCTTTTCTCATTTCAGATTTCCGAAATTAAAAAGAAAATCTCTTCAAATATTTTTTTTTTTGCAAAAAAAGGGTGGTTGGAAAAAAAAAAAATTTTTTTGGGGGGGATTCAATATGCAACAGCATAGTGTATTGCACAAAAGCAAAAGAAAAAGGGGGGTAATTTTTTTTTTTTATTTGGGGGGGGGGGGGTCAATTCAGACCTGTATCAAGCGCGAATATTGTGTCCATTTTTGCCCCAACTGTTCAGGGGTTGGGCCTCTGCGGTAGTATCCAGCTGCGCTCAGCAAAGCATTTTATTTCACTCATGTATCAAATACACTTTTAATTATGTATTTCTAATTGCTTAATTCTTTTGATGTATCAGATTTATTGAAATGGTGCACACAATTTCAGGTTTTCTATTGTGTTATAATAACGTAGAATTTAACAACTATATGTCAGGGTACAGCCTTCTACAATGAGCAAAATCTATAATGCATTGTAAGCTTTTTCTGGTTCATTTGACCTGCAAGTGGACTTGTATGAAACTTTATGAACGTAACATCAATTGTAATAAAATTGAGTGTGGGAAGTAACAAATATTTCATTATTTCCTAATAACCTAGAAAACAATGTCATTATATCACAGATTTTCATAGGGGAGCTAGGAGGGGGTGTCATCCTGAATTCTCAAAAAAATAAAGCATTATTTCCCAAATCCTGAAAAATTAATCATTTTTTCCCGGGTTGATATAAGTGTTAATCCTGAATAGCTGCGAAAATAAAAGGCTCAATTCCACCCCTTTTTTCAGTATTAAAACTGAAAAACAAAAGGATGTTTTTTTTTTATTCAAATATAAAAGATTTGACAATTTGGTCCAAGGACACAGTTATCGTCCTTTGGTTTTCGTTGTCTACGAATATAGTCCCTAGTGTGAACAGTGTATAACTTGCATTTTTTTTTGATAAACTTTCCCAATTTATTTCTTGATATTTTATGCATGAAATATTAAGTAAGGGGATGAAATTACATGTTAAAAAAATTTGGGTGCTGAATCTTTATGTTAAGTAGTGATTTGGTCCAGTTAAAAAAGGTCAAAAATTAGAATGTCTGAAGCTGTCAAACTGAATTTTAGCCCCCCTTAACACAGAATTGTCAATATTTTGAGTTAGAGCTGGTAGAAGTTTCTATAATTTTGATATTATTTGTATCAATAGTAGTACACTACACTGTAAAAATCTTTTTGAGATAGAGAAGGTGAGATTTTTTAAATTTTGAATCTATTGTCTAAAAGAAATGCACTACGAATTAACTGTGTTCTCGGGCCTACGAGATGAATTCCGTAAATGTAGATTTTGTACTTTGGCAACTTTCCTGAATGGTTTGCTGGTTTCAATTTGTCAAACTCAATAAAAGTAAAGGATTTACATTTACTTGAACACAAGTTATTGTCTGGAAACTAGAAAAATGCTTATTTTTGGCCCCTTTTTGCTAAACGTTTTGGGCAATTACCCCCAAAATCGATTCCAGCTTTCCCTTTGTTATATGGAACCTCGTAGTACAATTTCAGAAAGACCCATACACTTACACACAAGTTATTATCATGAAACTAGAAAAATGCTTGTTTTTTGCCCCTTTTTTGGCCCTTAATTGCTAAAATTTTGAGGCAATTACCCCCAAAATCAATCCCAGCATTCCCTTTGTGATATGGAACCTTGTGGTACAATGTCAGAAAGATCCATACACTAACACACAAGTTATGTCTGGAAGTTACAAAAATGCATATTTTTGGCCCCTTTTGGCCCCTAATTCCTTAACTGTTGGTACCATAACCCCCAAAATCATTCCCAACCTTCCTTTTGTGGTATTGAACCTTATAGTAAAATTTCATAGAGATCCATTCACTTAAACTAAAATTAGAGTGCGAAAACCAAAACCAATGTGTCTTTGGACAATGACGACCACGACGACGGACTACGACGACCACGACGAAGCCAACGTCATACCAATATACGACCGCAAAATTTTTTTGCGGTCGTTTAAAAACTGGTCATCAGACCATACTGTCTGCAAAAAAAAGTTGAATTCAAGAGTCCTTTTGCAATTAGACTTCTTGTATCATGACATATTAGCATAGAAATGAGCAAAAAGTAACAAATTTCCATTTCTTATAGCCTCTGTGTGCATTTTTATATGTAAATATTGGCTACGGCCTAAATCGACTCTAAATAATTCTCAGTCTAACTTGGCCTAAGACCATTTTATACTCCTGTGGTATGCTTTTTGTAACTTTTCTTTACATTTAAAGTACATTTAATATATATGGAAGAATAATGTATGGTTAAAAAACTTCAAAAACTTCAAATTGGTTGAACAAAATGCATGTTTATGTAAAGGCTTCCCTTGATTCGAAAAATCTCTATTTTCAGGCACAGGCTCATATAAATTTGACTTTTGAATAGCTGTAATAAATCTGATAAATCAAATGAGTGTTCCGTTGCTTTTAATACTTATTATATTATTTTCAAGAGTATTTAAAAAGGAAATTTTTGCAATATTTAAATTTTTTAGGCCAAAATCTTGACAGTTGAAAATATTTGATTTAAACCTCAAAAATAAACATCAAAATTTCAATATTAAATTGGCCCTAGTTTCTATAATATATATCCTATGGCCATGAAACTTGACCAACTATCTTATAATTTCCTAAGCTTAGGTCATGCAAAGTTCTATTAAAATTGGTCAAGTCTTTCTATCCTATTAGATGAATTCCGTAAATGTAGATTTTGTACTTTGGCAACTTTCCTGAATGGTTTGCTGGTTTCAATTTGTCAAACTCAATAAAAGTAAAGGATTTACATCTTTGTTTGACAGAAATTCTGTTAAAATGTCCCATTTTGGCATTATACGGCTAAAATAAGCATTTTAAAGCAGTTTCCATTTTATGCCTAAGAGCCATGCTGACTTTCTATCTGACAGCTTTTTATGTTCCTGATATTTGTGTTTCTATGCTTAAATCAAATTTAATTAACCATTTGTGAACTCTGAATCTAGAGAAAAGTAGATTATCACAGAAAAAATGTGCAGAATATTTGTATTTATGTCCCTGGTTAAACGGCCTGTTTGATGTATGTGAAATGTGAAGAGCTTTGTACATAAAATCTGTAGTCCATCACAAATATTTCACTAAGTCTGTAAAAAAACACTCTACAATGATCAGTACACCCTATTCATTTCATATGCTACCATAATTTTCTTCTTTAGGATAGTAAGTGGTTCAAATATATGCCAATTGAGACTAAAACTACATGCAAGTTTTCCATTGAAAAGTGAAAAACTGGTCATCAGACCATACTGTCTGCAAAAAAAAGTTGAATTCAAGAGTCCTTTTGCAATTAAACTTCTTGTATCATGACATCTTAGCATAGAAATGAGCAAAAAGTAACAAATTTTCATTTCTTATAGCCTCTGTGTGCATTTTTATATGTAAATATTGGCTACAGCCTAAATCGACTCTAAATAATTCTCAGTCTTACTTGGCCTAAGACCATTTTATACTCATGTGGTATGCTTTTTGTAACTTTTCTTTACATTTAAAGTACATTTAATATATATGGAAGAATAATGTATGGTTAAAAAACTTCAAAAACTTCAAATTGGTTGAACATGTTGAACAAAATGCATGTTTATGTAAGGCTTCCCTTGATTCGAAAATCTCTATTTTCAGGCACAGGCTCATATAAATTTGACTTTTGAATAGCTGTAATAAATCTGATAAATCAAATGAGTGTTCCGTTGCTTTTAATAAAAATATTAAAATTGGTCAAGTCTTTCTATCCTATTAGGTCCAAGGACACAGTTATCGTCCTTTGGTTTTCGTTGTCTAGGAATATAGTCCCTAGTGTGAACAGTGTATAACTTGCATTTTTTTTTTATACACTTTCCCAATTTATTTCTTGATATTTTATGCATGAAATATTAAGTAAGGGGATGAAATTACATGTTAAAAAAATTTGGGTGCTGAATCTTTATGTTAAGTAGTGATTTGTTCCAGTTAAAAAAGGTCAAAAATTAGAATGTCTGAAGCTGTCAAACTGAATTTTAGCCCCCCTTAACACAGAATTGTCAATATTTTGAGTTAGAGCTTGTGGAAGTTTCTATAATTTTGATATTATTTGTATCAATAGTAGTACACTACACTGTAAAAATCTTTTTGAAATAGAGCAATTGCAATTTTTTTAATTTGAATTTATTGTCTAAAAGAAATGCACTACGAAATAACTGTGTTCTCGGGCCATTTTTGATTCCATAGACTCTATAGCAGAGGTAAATAGGGTCATGTCACTGTTAATCAAATATTCTATTCATCGCATATGTCAGAAACAAATACCATGATACCAAAACAAAGGAGGATAACAGCTAGTTACATCTAAAAATAGGTGTTGTAAGTCACAGTAAACATTGAATTTGGCCCATGATGAGCTGAAATAAATGTGGAATGTGTCCATGGGACACAGATGATGGCCCCGCTTGCATATAACCTTATAAAGGGACAAAACTCAAGAACGGTAAAAGTGGCCCTTCCAAAAGTTGTACTTGATCTGAGTTTTGTGGTAATAAGCATTGTGTATAAGTTTCATACATTTGGTTGAGGTTAACTGAAGTTAGAGAACAGACCCAAAAATTCAGCAATTTTCAATTTGTAAAGGGGCATAACTCTCGAACAGTAAAAGTGATGCCACCAAAATTCAAATTTGATCTGTGTTTTGAGATAATAAGCATTGTGTATAAGATTCATAACATTTGGTTGAGGCAAACTTAAGTTAGAGAACAGAAACGAAAAATTCAGCAAATTTTCCATTTGTAAAGGGCATAACTCTAGAAAGGTAAAAGTGACACTACCAAAATTAAAACTTGATCTATGTTTCGTTGTTATAAGCATTGTGTATAAGTTTCATTACATTTGGCTGCGGCTAACTAAAGTTAGAGAACGGAAACCAATTTCGGTACGTACGGAAGGACAGATGTACAGACAGACAAGGGTAAAACTTAATGCTCCCTCCGCTATGGCAGGGGCATAAATATCAACAAGACTTCAAATTTCTTGGCTTTTTTCCACAATAAATCTCACATTTAACATTGATTGTATAAAAGTTATTCTGTAATGTTGATCTATTTCAACTATTTTTAAAGGACTTTTATTCAGGTTCTTGGTGAAAATAGATACTGGTTTAACCTCCTTTAAATGGGCATATTCACTGAAGCATGTTCATCCTAATTTATTCTTTTTACCTTTTCCAGCTTGTCTTAATTCTTGATATAATTCTCTTGATTTTCTCTCACTAAGAATACAAATGTACAAAATTAATGTAATAAACCTATTTGCTTCCATAATAAAGTTTTAATACTCAATCTCAAATTCAAAAATGTATTTAATCCTCAATATAACAGAAATACAGGTAAGACAATGAAGTAAATTCATTTTTTTTTTTTTATTATAGTGGGGCAATTTTTTTGTTTATTTATATATTTACTCTATCAGAAGTAGTTTTAAAGTCCAGGTCAGGTATAATACATTTCTGGGTGTTTCTTTCTTTAAAGATATGTAACTAATTCAACAAGTTTTCTTACATGAAAAAATACTTGTAAGTCATGAACATTTCAGTATAAATTCTGATCAATTTCATTGGTAAACTTAAGTGATTAGACTGTTTTCTCATTGATGTATACACATTTTCTTTTTTTTTCTCATTTTTGTTGTTTTTGTCGTTTATTTTAAAATGCATTAGAAAATGTCATTCATGAAAAGGTCAACTTCAAAACACTTAAAATCAAAAAGTGTGTGCAAATGGTGTGTTCATATGTGAAACAATTCATACATTGACAATGAAAACAGACAAAATTATAAATCTAAATTGATATTAACCTTATCTTGTTTTATTTTTACATAGTCATTTACTTAGAATCTAGAAATATTTCTTACCATTCTTCCAGCTTTTCATTTTTAGTAATTTTCGAGAAAGGACTTTTATTCAACTCCATTATTTTGGTTTGTAAGGCTGCAGCTTGCTGATCTAACCTGTCCACTTTTTCCTTCTGTAAAACATATAAACAGAGCCATTTTGATTCTGCATTCTAATACGATAGCTGAGAAAAGTGTTGCTTCTGTTTTCTAATACAACAGCAGAGATCAATTTTTCGTTCTGCATTCAATTAGGACAACAAAGAACAATTTTGATTCACATTCTAATATGACAGCCAAGATTAATGTTTTATTCTGCATTCAATTTGGACAGCTGAAAACAATTTTGATTCACAATCTAGTATGACAGCCAAGATTAATTTTTTATTCTGAATTCAATTTGGACAGTGGAACAGTTTTGATTCACATTATATGACAGCTTAGATAAATTTTTTATTCTGCATTCGATTCGGACAGCATAGAACAATTTTGATTCGCTTTCTAATATGACAGATAAGATTAATTTTTCGTTCTGCATTCAATTTGGACAGCTGAGAACAGTTTTGATTCGCATTCTAATATAACAGCCAAGAACAATTTTGATTCTGCATTCTAATATGACAGCTGAGAACAATCATGATTCTGCATTCTGATATGACAGCTAAGTTCAATTTTGATTTAGCATTCAAATACAGCAGCTAACAACAACCTTGGTACTGCATTGTACGATGACATTATTGAAATTGTAAATGTGGTTGGTAATGCAAAAAAGTGTTGCCCATCTTCTATCATTCTTTTAATTTTCCTTGACGATTGATTGTTGGCTGCTTGATGTCCAGTGGCAAATATTTAATGTATGTTTAGAACAACTTTTCTTTGAATCTTCAGTCCAATCCAGAGGACAACGTATTTAAAAAATATGATTTTCATTTTTCAGATAAGATAAGTTGCAAAAGTGAAAAAAACATACAAAATTAACAGTAGCAACACTTTCCCTGATACTAAATTCAGAAATTATTGTGAGGTTTTATTATTGCCAAATAATGCGACTGGGTGAGTACTAGCATTCTGAAATTTGACACATATATTTGTATGCGGCTTTTCCTGTAATCGCAAAAATTAATCACACATTTATTTGGTCCGTCATGTCAAAATCTAAATAATAAATGCACACAATAATTACTGAATTTACAGTAATAAGTAATAAAAGCTTTAAAGTTTACATACTTACTAAATATTATCTTAAATCTTAACAAATTATTTATTTGACTTTCACCAATAACAATAAATGTTTGTACTGTAGTAAACTTACCAAAGACAGAATATTATCAATATCATTACCAGACTGAAGCCATGATTGAAACATATCAGTTGAAGCATGGCCACCATTACTCATATAATACTTATACTGATCTATATCAAAGGCTAAACTGAAATATAATTAAAAATTGTTTTATGATGGTCATAATTCACTTGTTTTCTTGTAAAGTAGAGAGATAGGGGTTTAACAAATTGAAACACTCGACTGATGTCATACAACAATTGCTTTTGCTATGTGGCATGACATTTTTTTCTTGCGACATCAAAATTTTATCAGATTTTTATGGCAGACAAATAGCAAAAGAACACAAAAACATTAAAAATTCTCAGTTTCTGTCAAGAAATCCTAACATAATCAATAAAACTTTTGTAGGAAAAGACAAAAAAATTCTAATTTTCTTTCAGTCTTTAGTATCAATGTTGTGTTTTGTATGTCTTTTTATTTGGAGTCTTTTTCTTTGTTTTGTTTTTGTTTGCTAGGTAATTATCTCCCCTCATTTGATTGTTTTCTTCCTTTTTTTACTAATAACTTATTCATAAACAATATAAATTAACTTAATGAAAATACTGGTATATTAATAGCATTGATTCTCATATGGCATTGTGCTAGTATATATATACCTTTCTTTGAAATAATTTTTCTTCGATAATAACTGCTCCCATTCATTTATCATTATATTTTTCAACTTAACAAATTCTGAATTTGTCCTCAGTAAACTTAACCTGTAATGAGAAAAATATATAAAATACAGTTGACTTCATTTCTTGTCCCTCTATATATATTTATATATATGTCCTATATTTTAAACAATACCATAAAAGTAATAACTATATAAATAAAATGTTTTGATTTTAATCAACATTGGTGTATAGAGTTATCTCCCATACAGCATCTTTTGTTTATTTGAAAAATTGCAAACACTTATGTATTTTACAGAATGAGAGGACCTTTCTATGAACTAAATAATTCAATCAAAGGGTATAATGTAAAAGTAATTTTAATAGAGTTCAAAAATATGAAAAAGTTCAGAAAGAAATAAAATTCCAGCCATCAAGAAGTGTAATATTGAGTTTTTGGATATTAATGGAGTCTTTTTTCTTTGTGCAGTTTTTACTCAAATGATTAAGACATATAGGATGATTCAGTCTTTACAAACCTACTTAATTCTCATCACATGCTGATGTGTGCTATTTGTCCCAAGTTAGGATCATTGTTAGTGGTTGCATTGTTCCTTGGAATTTTTCATTTGTTTATTGGTAATTAAATGTAAATATGCCATCTTAGGTTTGCCAATGTTGAATTCATTCAAAACTTGTAAAAGGTTCGACCAACTTAGGGAATTGTTGGAGATTGACTCCAAGATTAACATTTAGTTGGAATGGAAATGGCTTGTTATACAAGTTGGAGTTTTGACTTACTGTAAATCCCCCCAACCCCTCCCTCCATTTGAACATGCATGTGCCAATCAGTGCTACGACAGTCAACTGCTCCTGAGAATCATTTGAAGAAATGTTCCAAACACTAGCCATTATATGTACAAATTACTATCAAAAATATGTGAAGTATAATATTTTTGCTATTTCTTATCTATTATGTTTGAATATTTGTCGATGACCAAACTGAATATTATCCTCTGATCATTTTTGTGTTTTTTATTGTGTTGTGAGGTTGCTGTATCACTAACTTTTACCCAAAATCTCCTTTCACTCATATGAATATCCTACAATCTCATTATACATGTTATTTATTTCTATATTATATATAATCTGATGTGTACTTACATACTAGCTCTCTGACTTAATATTAGCCTTTTATAATCTAACAATTGTTGTGAGCAATAATACACTGCTTCACCCCAAGCTTTCTTCATTTCCTGCAGAACAATACAATAACTTGATATTACTGTGGATTCATTTATTTTCGTGCATACCAATTTTGAGGATTGAGAGAAAATTGCATGTTCGTGGATATTTGATTTCATGGTTTTTTCCAAAGTCTGCATACAAACATAAAAAGAAAATTTGTACTTCGCTGAACGTTTGAATTCGTTGTTCACCTAAACCCATGTAATCCACAAAAATTTGTATGCCACCAATAATAATGAAATTTACAGTAAATAATAATTGTCAATATAAAAATATTGATTCATTATACAGTTTTAAACCAATAGATAAATATTTGGTAACTTTTTATATCTATTTTCTCTGTATCTTCTTCAATGTCTGGTAGGATTGTGGTTTTTCAAGTTTTTTAAGTTTTTTTGTCACATGACAGATAATCACTGGCTCATTTCTATCTTGTTGTATGCATTACGCAGAATGATCTGGTTCAATTAGTAATTAATTCAATAATGTTCCTTGGGTTATTGTTTTATAATCATATCTCACATTAAACTTTCAAAATGCATTCTGAAATTTCAATATAATAAATTTTCTTTGAATATATGTTTTTTCTTTAAAAAAAGTTCAAAAAAAAAAGAAAAAAAATAGTGACAACTGCACATTAAACTTCCATGAAGAAAAACTGAGAGTAAATAATGCTCACCTGGTATGTCAGTAATATTGTAGGCTCTTTCACGATATCCTGAACACGAGGTGAAAATGGTTTATAGAGTCTCTTAGAAACAGGTTCTATTACCTCCCCTTTCTTAAACAAAAATACAACCCAATCTTCATCACCCTGTGAAAAGAGGATAAAGAAAAGTAAAACAAATAATTAAAATTATTTTCAAACTTAGCAACTCTATAACATGTGCAACACTGACAATAATAGTTTAAATTTTCAAAACTATTTATAGCCAGAATATCAAATCTAATACAAAAGTTAAGCAATTCCATGATGTATTAAAGAGTATTCTGAGAACCACACAACTGATTTCATTTGGAACCTTTAAATACAAGAAGATTAGTTTAAATTTCAAATTAGGGCTGTCTCAGATTTAAACACATGGGGGATAGGAGGCACTTAAATTAGTAAATTATGAGTGGTTGTATATTCTTTAAAATTTTTAAAGAATTATAAGTAAAATGAAAATTTTATAATATGGGTGGTTGGGGTCTAAAAAAAGTGCCTTCCATTCTTCCCAAGCGTTAAAATCTGAAACAGCCCTTATTTAATATCCTATAGGTTCAATCTGCCAAATGTGTCTGGCACTAAATAAAAGCAATAAATAACAGCATTTTATTTTAATCTTTTATGTTACTTACGGGACTATTCCAGCATTGCGTAGCTATTTTATTTGGATCAGGACTAGCACCACTTGCAAGTAGAATATCTTGTTCAACAATAGGAATTCTGGTCTCTTTTTCTATCATCTGTTGAATTTCAATCATTAAAGTCTGTTCTGTGATAGGGTATGATAATACTTGGAGCTCTGAGTTAGTGGCTACATTGAGTATATGTATCATCTGAAAATAATGAAATATAAATATTCAACCTAATGCAAAGTTGAAAATCTTTGCTAATTTAGCAATTAGGATAAAATTGTGAAGATATCATCTCAGATAAATTTGATCTTTATTGTAGATCAGAATCAGGGATGATACAAATGCAATAATAAAACTGTATGAACACGTAAAGCCCAAGAAATTGTGACAAATAAAAATAAAATTTATAAAAATCAAAAGGGAGCTCATGTCAATAGATATAAACAATTCACCACAATTTCTTGCAAGTTGGTGAAAGCATTCTTGAGTTATTGTCCGAAAACTGGAAAATCCCCCTTTTTTTAATGAATAAAACCCCATAACTCAGAAACGTAAAATTCAAAATTTATAAAAAACGAAAGGGAGCTCACGTCAATAGATATAAACAATTCACCAAAGTTTTATGCAAATTGGTTGAAGCGTTTATGAGTTAATGTCCGACATGTTGACGACGGACGGACAGACGGACGGACGGACAGACGGACAACGGTATACCATAATACGTCCCGTAAACGGGCGTATAAAAACCAACATTACCGTATTAGTATATAACTACATTGCATGTATGTTTCATGAGAATCCGTTAGTTTGTTTGGCTAACAACAATCGTGCGTCATTCAAAAGTTAACCTTCATATCAAAATGAAATGTTACATTCATGATGACATGTGCTTCCACAAAAAAGTGCACAGGTAAATAAAAGAAAATTTTGATAAAACTTTTTTTTCATGGCCTTAGCATAAAAATGTAATTATAAGAAATGAATGCTACTTTAAGTAATTTGATAGGGTTGTAAAAGTGTTGATCGTGCACACATTTTTTGCATGTTGCGCTTCCGCACTTCATACAAAATGTGCTTCTGTCAACACTTTTACACCCCAATAAAATTACAAAAAGAAGCATTCATTTCTTAAATAACATACTTATTTATTTAAGCAATCTAAATTTACTTATATTATCTGAATTTATCCAATTCTTATATCCTGTGTTTAAATTCAACTTTTAATTACAGATAGAAGATAATTTCTTAATGTGCAGAAAGATTTCAACTTGATATTGGCTTTCATTATAGATTTGAACTTGAAAATCATAAGGTAAAGAAGTATGCTTTCTGAGAGCATGTTGTTTGGAATGCTATTGTCTTTAGGTTAATCATGTATTTTTGAATAAATCAAAACAAGGAATATATAACTACTTAAAACTAAGTAGTATCTGTTTTGAACATTTCCACACTATCTAGGTTTATACTGTTGATATAACAAAACTTTTATGTAAAAACTTCTGAACTATTGTAGAAAATGATCACCTTCATATTCAAAATAGTATCTAGGAATGTAAAACATTTAGGTCTGTTGTCCACCAAGCCATGCCCTCTAGACTTAGGGTCCCATCGCAAAATCATACGTAGCCATTTCTCAAAATAGGCTTGCAATGTTCTATAAAATAAAAATCATTTATACAAATATGTCATTAAAGTCAAATTATGAAAAAATAATTATCTATAATATGCATTCATTGTACTTGAAGAGCTTTTTTTTTATTAACCTTGAACACAAATTCTAAGAGGACAAAGCTGTATAAATACATGGGGAGCATGATAATCAAAAGGATCCAAAAGAAAAATGCTTACATAGTATGTTACTTTAATCAGATTTAGAACCTTAACCTGTATATAGAAATCTTTTAATTCATGTTTGGTTTTTGCTCATTGTTGAAGGCCATACAGTGACCTGTAGTTGTTAACTTTTACATGTCATTTTCTCTCTGGTTGAGAGTTGTCTCATTGGCAATCATACCACACCTTCTTATTTTTATATTATACTTCCAATGTAAAAGCTGAAGCCACTTGTCATTTATCAGATGATATCCTTCCTTTAAAAATGTTTTAATTCATGTGTGACTTCAAACATGTAATGCCTACTGACTGTAGTAATTTGTGATTTATATATATATATATATACATATATAATATCCGGAAAGATTCTTTCAAAGTACTAAGATCAATCAGAAATTAATCCATTTTTCAGTCTCGTCTATATTCAAATATACAAAGCATAGTGTTGTAGATTCAGGGAAGTTTAAGTACCTACCTACAGAGATAATTTGGTTGGAACAATGTTTTAGAGAATCTGACTTCTCCATTTGAGTCATGGTAAGCACAAATATCATCTGGAGATTTCTTACACACTTCCCTATGCCTGTAATATCAAAGCCATAACATTATATAGTCATCAAATTTATGTCCTGATATCTTTTTACAATAAAGCTAGTGACTCTTCAATAGTTTTATTTTGCAAAGCAGAAAATGAAACTGCTTTCTTCTATTTGCTTGTATTATCAATTTTTTCCCATACTAGTTTTAATACAATTGTAGAACCTTTGCAACTAAAGCATCAGTTCCATTTTGATTGCAGCTACTTGCAATGTTAAAATTTGTTGTCTTTATTGAATATAATTACCTATTTTCAAATAAAGATTTATTAATATGCAAACAACATTTGGTATATTCAGACAACTTTGACAAAGAATCAAAAGTTTACCAGAAATCATTTCAGCTATAGATATAAAAATTATTGTTCACACAAGTTACATAACAGTACTTGAATAGTAGCTGATTTGAAAACAAGAGTGCACACGCTGAAATGTCTCGCCTTCTTTACTTACCATTGATTTTATGTTGATAGTCCTAAATATAAAGCTTTACTACAAGTAACACATAAACTTAACATGACCCAAGAAAATGAGGTCAAGGTCAGATAAACCAAACGAGAAATACATGTACACCTTAAGCTTGCAATCATTCAATGAACCAAACATAGTTGACCTATTGCTTATAGTTTCTAAGAAACATTCTTAACCAAGAAAACTTAACATTGACCAATGAACCATGAAAATGAGGTCAAGGTCAGATGAACCATGCCAGACAGACATGTACACCTTACAATCAATGTATGCATTAAATATAGCTGACCTATTGCTTATAGTATCTAAGAAACAAACTTAACCATGAAAACTTAACATTGACCAATGCACCATGAAAATGAGGTCAAGGTCAGATGATACCTGCCAGACAGACATTTACACCTTACAATCTTTCCATACAACAAATACAGTTGATCTATTGCTTATAGTTGAAGAAAAACAGACCAAAACACAAAAACTTAACACTGAGAAATGAACCGTGAAAATGAGGTCAAGGTCAAATAAAACATGCGAGACTGACATGTACATAATAAAATATTTCCATACACCAAATATACTTGACCTATTGCATAAAGTATTAGAAAAAAAGACCAAAACTCAAAAACTTCACTTTGACCACTGAACCATGAAAATGAGGTCAAGGTCAGATGACACCTACCAGTTGGACATGTACACCTTACATTCATTCCATACACCAAATATAGTAGACCTACTGCTTATAGCATCTGATATATGGACTTGACCACGAAAACTTAACCATGTTCACTGATCTATGAAATGAGGTCGAGGTCAAATGAAAATTGTCTGACAGGCATTAGGATCTTGCAAGGTACGCACATACTAAATATAGTTATCCTATTACTCATAATAAGAAAGAAATTAACATTACAAAAAATGTTGACTTTTTTTTCAAGTAGTCACTGAACCATGAAAATGAGGTCAAGGACAATGGACATATGACAGACAGAAACTTCGTGACATAAGGCATCTATATACAAAGTATGAAGCATCCAGGTCTTCTAGCTTCTAAAATATAAAGCTTTTAAGAAGTTAGGTAACGCCGCCGTCGCCAGATCACTATTCCTATGTCGAGCTTTCTGCGACAAAAGTTGCAGACTCGACAATAAAACAAAAAAAGTTAGCTATTTAAAACCAGCATTTTAATTAAGAAATATTATAATACTTTCTATAGGAATGTCTTTGATAATGAAAATTCCTTACTTTGGCATAGAATAAAAGTAAATTATTTTGGGAAAAGCATACTGTTGTGTAATTGTCAGTACAGCTGTTGTTATTAGTCCATAGTATGTACATGTGAGTAGGCACAGCTTAGCACAATTGATGTCTACATCTTCAAAGCGCATTAGTAAATGAATGCAGTACCTTTGAATTAAAATATACATTACCATTGTCATCTGCTTGGATTGATTGATTGATTGATAGGTGTTTAAACTGACAATCAAAGTCAAGTAAGATCGGATCCCACGTGCGGGATTAAAACTCACAACCTCAGTGTTGACAGGTTAGTGATACAGTAGTTAGACTACTTAGACCACTCGGCCACCAAGGCCCCCCATCTGCTTGTAATAATTATGACAATGACACATGAATATAATTAAAAGGAGAGGTGAGTATTATTTTTATATTGGTTAGGTTACAATGAGTCAGTATAATAATCAAAATAATGTTGTGATTACCATTGACCATGTGTACTATTGTAGCATAGTCAATTCTCAACACAACATTTTTCAATGAATATATGGTTAAGGTTAACTACATGTATGAAAATCAATATTTTTCTATATATTTTCAAGAACTATCTTATTTTTAGATATCTCTCTGTCATTTTATATTTATTTCTTCAAGAATTTGACAATTAATGACTGATTTTAAAAGGGGAAATGTTTGACCTAAAATAATTTTAAAATGTTTTGGGCAAAATTTTATTACTTTTTAAAAATGTTGCTTTAATGTACCAGAAAAACCAAATGCTTTAATTTCCTTCATTAACATATATTGGTATTTAAAATAACTCTTTTTATTCATATCATTAGAATTGTTCTTTAATGACACAAACCTATTGAAACTTAACCTTAAATTTCAAAATACCATGGCATTTAGATAAAACATAAATTTCAGTAATATTTCATCTTACAACATACCATTGAACAGGTGGTGATTGTGGCAAAAATGGTCGAACACCAGTTATACATTCAAACACAACTGTACCAAATGACCAGTAATCCACTGTACAGGTGTACTTTTGACTAGCAAATAATTCTGGAGCCTGCAAAATATAATTGTACATTTGAGTTAATCTTATGTCAATATATCAGTATAATTTTATGTGTGATAGGCTTGATATAGTTATTTTATTCACTTTTTGCATTTATACCAGGGCTTCCAAAATTTCCTGACGACAGCCGGACATTTTTCAAAGAAATATTTTTGACGGTCAATGATCAGCTGTATACTTAAATGTAACTGAGAGGATGCATAAATTGATATATGTGTCTAAATAATTAGTAGTGTTATATGCAATAAAATTATTTATAACTGTTTTGTTTTCTTCATTCTAAAAATAAATAAAATATTATCCTCGGTATTGTGTCATTTTTCTGTGTATCGTAATACAGTAACCATCATTGCATCAATCAGCTTCAGTACCTGACTGTTCTCATGTTTTTGTTTCTGTTTATATAATCTATCTTCTCTCTGTGAGTACTTAACACTTTGTAAATTAAGGCCATCTTATTTGAAACTGTTGATGTTGGCTTTAATTGCAGTACAACTTGATCATCAATACACGTGATACTTTTCTTTTTGTGTATTGATTACCTGACCACGTGACTTTTACAACTGATGCGGTATTTATAGATAACATTGAGGAGGCCCGATGAAGGATATTGTTTTAAACCGTGTAAAATCTACTGAACAGTGATAACATTTTTCTTTGTACAATTTCCCAACCTGATTTAGAAAATAAGGAATAAATAAAAACATACTCAGTTGATAAATAATTTAATGAATAACAACATGATATTTTATGTAAGCATATAACAACAATAAAATGTCAGAAGAGCACAATGCTGACAAACACACGCAATAAATATTACAATGAGCACATTGAAAAGAAGCACAGATCACAGCACAAGATTAGAGTTCATTTAGTCTAATTAAAGATTTTACATTCATGAGCTTGCTAAATGCATTGTTCTGATAAACATGGCGGTTACGAACGGATTGCCATTTGCGGATAGCAGGAACAGGGTCAAAGTCTTTAACATCTACACCTACTAAGCTTATCCTCATAAGTTGATCTAAAGCGTCAATACCTAGACTACACCTTAGTCGATCATAATTCCCACGGCGGGACTTAACTTTACGTCGGACATCACCTCTTTCTCTATAACATCGGAAATTGTCTGAATAAATTCGGAGCAGGCATTGTTCTCTTGATATAATTTAGAAGTGATCACGGCACCATTTAACTTAGTTAAATCATTTATTGACTGAAATTTGTCCATTGGTTTTTCCTATATATTTTAGTAAATTTTCCCCTTGAGAGTACCCCAGTATTTAACACGATGTACTGTGTTAAATAAAATAATATATATCATACTTATTCATTTATAAATATCCTTATTTGAAGAATAACTTTTAAATATCAGGATACTTTTAAAACTGAATACTCATTTAAAATAATATCTATAAAGCGTAATTAAATAGGATGTTGTTCCATACACGCTTACATGTTTGACCTCGTTTACCGGATTACCTTTATGTACATTGTTATGCATCATTAATTCTATTGATAAAGATAAGCTAAGGACACCTCATCAAAGGTAACAAACCTGTAATCAGTGAATGATTTATGGCTTCAATATAACTTATTCAAGGGATAATTGTTTGACAGCTTGTTGTTATTTAAATAAAAGAAAACGTGTTTTTTCTACCTTTTATTGATGTACACAAGCTAAAGACCAAGCCGTACATTTATGTACCCAGAGGATTAGACTAACTGAGACACTTCAAAGTATCTGAAATATGCTGCTTCTGTTTTATTAAACCCAATTATGACCGAAATATCTTTGTGAAATAGATTGCCACAATTATAAACTAAAATGCCCAAACGGACATGCCCAAAGCCCCAAACGGACATTTTTATCGATCAATAGTTGGTAAAAATTGAAATGACCGTTTCATGAAAATGCCTTGAATAACAAAATGTGGCACACCAATTCTATTTGACCGTTTGAGGCTGAGAGCAGCCGGTCTTTTTATGAAAGTTTCGGTCAAGTCCGGAATATATGACCGTTTTGGAAGCCCTGATTTATACTAAAAAATTTTCATTCTTTTTTTTAGTTTTTCTTCTTTTTATGATTATATGTTGTATTATAATACAGTGTTCCAGCTAGGATTTCAAAAGGGCAGGGAGCTAATCATGAAAAGGGCACTTTAGCGCGATGATTGATATTTCAAAAAGGGCTTGTCAAACATTGTCTTATGTAAACTGCAGGGGTTTCAGCTAGGAGTTTTGAGGGCGGTTTAGTCACTTTTACGCTAAATGAAAATCAACCTTATTTTGGGTAACAGTATTAAAGGGACCAAGGACCGACATACATTATAAAACATGTATATTACTAGCTCAGTCATCCCTAGAAAATTTTTGATGCATGGTGGGTCTAAGGTTAAGTTGCAATGCAGAGCGCAGCAGCATTTTGTAGAATTATGTTTATTTCATTAGTGAAATGAATTGTGCATATGTCAGTTATTAAACTACACATAAATCTGCAAAACAGTCAGGAACAATACCTAACATTTTCTCCAGGGGCCAACCTGGATCCCAAAACTTTTTTCCAAGGGCCCAGTAGAAATTTTAAGGCCCTACCAGGGTATTTTTACTACAGGTACATACTTATTAATACAGTACTAGTGTAGTCTTAAATGTTCTTATAAAGGCAATTAAATATGTTTGAAATGCCTAATACATGTAGCTTGTTTCTGATTATGATAGAAATAATAAAGGAATTAATAAACCACATTGAGTTTTTCAGAATTAAAATCCATTTAACCATGTCTTTTCAGACTGGTAAACTTATATTTGTAATATTATATAAAAAAATAAAATGCTCCGCAGGGCGCAGCTTGATACGACCGCAGAGGTCGAACCCTGAACAGTTGGGGCAAGTATGGACACAACATTCAAGCTTGATACAGCTCTGAATTTGGATTGTGATTAAATATTTGACACAGCATAGGTTTCTGACACAGAATGAATGTGGTCTAAGAACTTAAAAATTTTAAATTGGACATTCACATATTATGGTCCAATATACAAAATCTAAATACATGGTTAGATTCAGCATATCAAAGAACCCCAAAAATTCAATTTTCGATGAAATCAAACAAAGTTTAATTTTGGACCCTTTTGACCTCAATGTGGACAAAGTTGATAACGGGGCCCAAAAATCTAAATACATGGTTAGATTCAGCATATCAAAGAACCCCATATATTCAATTTTTGTTGAAATCAAACAAAGTTTAATTTTGGACCCCGATTTGGACCAACTTGAAAACTGGGCCCATAATCAAAAATCTAAATACATGTTTAGATTCAGCATATCAAAGAACACTAAACATTCAATTTTTGTTAAAATCAAACTAAGTTTAATTTTGGACCCTTTGGACCTTAATGTACTCCAATTTGAAAACGGAACCAAAAATTAAGAATCTAAATACACGGTTAGATTCGGAATATCAAAGAACCCCAATAATTCAATTCTTGATGAAATCAAACAAAGTTAAATTTTGGACCCTTTGGACCTCAATGTGGACCAATTTAAAAACGGGGCCCAAAATCCAAAAACATAATACACGGTTAGATTCAGCATATTAAAGAACCCCAAGAATTCAAGAATAAAACCCCATTGAAATTGATCAAGAAATAAGCAATTTATAAGAAGTATCTTCTTTTGCACAATACTGTGCAATTGAATATTTCTTGCTATTGCGCAATACTGTACAATTGACAATTTCTTGCTATTGCGCAATATTGTGCTATTGGATATTTCTTGCTATTGCGCAATACTGTGCAATTGAAGATTTCTTGCTATTGCGCAATACTGTGCAATTGAAGATTTCTTGCTATTGTGCTATACTGTGCAATTGAAAATTTCTTGCTATTGCACAATACTTATTATATAAAAATTTACACATCCTGTTTGGTGTGTATCTCCTACAATATCATTATTATTTGCTTTTAAATATAAATCAGAAATAACCAACTTAAAATGGAAAATTTTAAAAGAAAAAAAAAAGGAAAAAAAGAAAAAAAAAGAAAAAAAAAAAAATCCCACCCCCCAAATTTTTTGAACCCCCTTATGATTCATCACCCCCAAACTCAATCCCAGCCTTCCCTTTGTGGTATGGTACCTTGCAGTACAATTTCAGAGAGATCCATACACTTGAACACAAGTTATTATCTTGAAACTAGAAAAATGCTTATTTTTGGCCCCTTTTTGGCCCCCAATTCCTAAATGTTTCAGGCAATTACCCCCGAACTCAATTCCAGCTTTCCCTTTGTGATATGAAACCTTGTAGTACAATTTCAGAAATATCCAAACACTTACACACAAGTTATTGTCATGAAACTAGAAAAATGCTTGTTTTTTTGCCCCTTTTTTGGCCCCTTATTCCTAAAATTTTGAGGCAATTACCCCCAAAATCAATTACAGCCTTCCCTTTGTGATATGGAACCTTGTGGTACAATGTCAGAGAGATCCATACACTTACACACAAGTTATTGTCTGAAAGTTACAAAATGCTTATTTTTGGCTCCTTTTTGGCCCCTAATTCCTTAACTGTTGGTACCATAACCCCCAAAATCAATCCCAACCTTCCTTTCGTGGTATTGAACCTTATGGTAAAATTTCATGGAGATCCATTCACTTAAACTAAAGTTAGAGTGCGAAAACCAATGTGTCTTCGGACGACGCCGGACGACGACGACGACGACGACGACGACGACGACGACGCCAACGTCATACCAATATACGACCAAAAATTTTTAATTTTTGTGGTCGTATAAAAATATATAAAAAAGCCCCACCCCCCTTTTCCATTTTACACTCCCCTAGATGTATTCATAGGCGGATCCAAGGGGGGGGGGAGGGAAGGCCCTGGGGGGCCCGGGCCCCCCCTTTCATGGGAAAAATTTGGTTGATTGTATAGGGAATCACTGAAGCATGACTGGAGCGGGCCCCCCCTTAGATCAGTCAGCGGCCCCCCCTTATGAAAAGTTCTGGATCCGCCACTGGTATTAAAGTATTATCAGTTTCACCCCAAGAAAGTATTCATCTTTAATGAAATAATCTTAGCAGTTAATCAAAATGAAATTCTTACTGTCTATAAATAACAATGAAATGTTACTGTTTCTTGTTAAAGGGGTTTTCCGAATTTTCCCGCCAAAAAGCCCATGGCTTTCAACAAATGTAAATAAAGCATTCAATTTGTGATCATGGATTACAGCTTTAATTAATTTAATTTGGATATAGATATTCAATGAAAGGTACAGTCAAACATTGTTTTTACTTTCTTCTGGATTAAAACTAGTTTAAAAGATCAATTTAAAAAAAAAATATTTGACATCATAACAACAGATGATCTACAGATAAACGAAACGCAAATTGTCATCTTTTGAGAAATATTGAAATTGAAATGCTGATCGAATTTAATGAGAAAAATTATTACCATGGTCAATTATGAAGTTTAATTAAGGGATTAATGACCCATCCGATGTCGATAAGCGGATCATCTGTGATCACGATAAGCGGATTATCTGTAATCACGATAAGCGGATTATCTGTAATCACAACTTATTACACCTGCTGTAAATGTTAATTAGCTGAGGGTCATTTACAAGAATTAGTGTTCTAAACATTTCTTGATATAAGATGGCATCCTTTTTAATGTTCAAGGTTAGTAATATATACTCTTGTTTTGTTGCAAAAGTCAGATAGTTTGTAGGAAATAATTAGTACACAGTATGTCAGTGACCTTATATGGTATATTTACCATCAGTACATATCATTTTAGTTTGCTGATATATATATGTAGGACTCTGAGGTGCGATGGGGATGCTGAAGTGCGATTGTCTGCCATTTTGTCTTGAACATGGACGTAGTGTTTAAGATGGTTAGATGAAACCATGATAGAGTGACTATAAAAGAAGAGATCTTGTGTCCTGACATAGCATTTTATATTTACTCCAGTTTGAGTGATCAGTGATCTATCTTATTCCTTGCTCTCATTCACCTCAGCCATATAGATTTGTTGCTTATTTTGCGTTGTATATATATATTACATAGAACTGACATCAATACAAATCTGCTAACATCATATTTTTATGTGACTTACTAAATATTGCAATGTGCCCACAAATGATGTACAAACACTACCCTGGTCCAGCTCTTTGGCATATCCTAAATCTATCAGTTTGTATATAATCTGAAAAAGAAGCAGTAAATTGTTCAGTATACTTGAAACATACAATGTAAGTACTCCTATGAAAGTTATATTTTTATAACACAACTTCAGCAATAATAAAAATTCATGATACTGAAGCCTATATGACACTTTTATTGAGAGAGAGAGAAGGAGGTAATCAAAGCTGACCTTCATACAGTTTTTGATAGATAATAACTACCATTTAGCCTGAAATAACATGAAATAATTGTTGTACTATATGTAAATAATAATGGGTTCATAGCTGTATAGATGCTGTGAATCAAAAATGATTTTTTTAAATCATATATATTTTTAAGTAAATATATTCAAGTAACACATTAAATGTGGAAATCTATGAAAAGGCAACCCAACATCTTTACAGAAAATGCGATGAAAAAAATCCCTTTTTTATGGAAATTGTTTTCTATTGTTTAAATGTTGCCTTTTCAAAGAGCCTGAACTAGAAACAAACATACAGAAAAGGTCATTTCAAAAATTAATGCTTGACAATTGTGTGCCTAGTGCCATTTGCAGATCCTAAATCCAACATTATTCATGTCTTTATACATTTTTTCAGAGTTTTGGTCCTGAGTACCTGTGATACAGGTTAATTAAAAAAAAGTGTTTTTTATAAAGAAGTAAAATCAGTATTTTTTTCTTTGATTAATTTTGCATTGAAGAGCCAGCCTTTGTAAGAATCAGGCAATTTAGAATTTCAAAACATGGCAGAAAAAAAACCTGCCAACCTATCCATTCTATTTTGAAGCTACCCTCATCCTGAGTAAGAAATGGTAGTTCTTTCGTTTCTGCATGTCTGGTAATTCATATATATCTAGATAACTTTTGGTTAAAATGATAGCAAATTACAGAGTTAGCTCCCCTTAATTATTAATTTGTTTAATGACACTTAAATGAAACATTTGAAAGACCCCCATTACTCTCTATTTTCAAACATTTCAAGCTTTTGTAATAAGTACCCTATCTTCTGTAGGTTGTAGAACAATATTTTCTGGTTTCAGATCTCTATGTATGATACGTTTACTATGTAGATATTCCACTGCTGAAGCAATATCCTTCACTAAACACCTCACTTCATACTCTTTAAGGCCACAACAACTCTCTGGCTTGTTTAAAATCTACAAAACAAAGAGTTCTGACATACTGATTTCATTTATATGCATAGATTTGATCCTGATGTGAATTCATGTTTTTATTTTACTGCCTTTAAGTAAATTTCTCCAAAAATAATATACAATACCTCTATAGAGGTTACCAGTAAGTGTTGTTATTTGAGCAGCAAAAATTACTTTTATTGTTACCCTTTACTTTTTTTACTTCAAAAACTGGTTTTGTCATTCTGCATAAACTGAATATCTTTTGTCAATGTGTTCTTGAATGTGCAGTGTTCTCCCCAGGCCGATATGACGCTGCGGTGCCGCAGTGCCTTCATAATATTTTTGTAGATCCCGCAGCGTCTTAATTGGCCGCTGTCCCTTAATACTTGATCCCGCAGCGTGTTAATTTTCACATTTTCATTATAAATGTTGGTTAATATTGTCAAGTTACTGATCACCGCTGATGGGTTGGTCAGTGTTACGCAATAACTGATAATTAGTTTTACCTGAGCCACGCTTATCTCAGCCTTATCGGATTATGTTATCAGGTAATAGCGTAAATGATCATCAAGAAGATAGATATTTTTTGAAGAAAATTAAAAATTTTAAAAACTTCAGTGCAGAAATTGAAGAAATAGATCGCAAATACATTGTATTTACACATCGTGTGTGTGATCACTTGACCATTTATATAACGAATTTTTTCATTGGTTGAGAAGAAGAATCTATTTAAACACGACCAATGAACGTGTTGAATACACATGATAAATTTGAATACACATTGCTAAAGATATTTACGATGAAAACTATAAATGAAAGTATTAGTTGTTGAAAAAATTAAAATAAAGTTTGATTAAAGATAACGAGGAGTGATTTACTTTAATAGAAAGTGAAAAAATGTTGCTTGCAAGGTAAATTCGTCAGAAACTGTCATATTTTTAGAAATAAAATTATCATTGAACATCGATCTTGAATCCGTGCGTCGGGAAATATATGTGACAAATCAACACGGGTACAGAATTGCCGCAGCTTCTGTATAATGTCACTGGTAAATAATTTCAATGGTTTTTACTTTAACGAATTTGTAAAGTTTCGTTTATAATATCTATCTGCCAAAGATAGGATTAAACAATAATACGCACGGAAGCGTAATGTGAAACTACGGAAACTAGTCAGCTCTGTTCATTTATAAAAAAAAGTTGTATACCAAATATCTTAACCATATTCGATTTTATTAATTCTGAATGAACATGTTCTCTGCAAATAACAAAGGGGTGAATTATAAGCAAAAGGTAGATGATGGAAGTAGAAGTTTTTTTCAGACCAATGACTTCTAATGAAAAGGGGAATACACCTCTGTCTACACTGTTATTATAAGCAGATTTCATTGCTTCTCCTTATCCCAACCAAGCTCAAGTTTTAGCAATTGATAAAAGCAAGCAGCATGTTTCTGGTTTCAATGACAAGTGGCTGACTGAGTTTTCATGGCTTAGAAATGTTAAAGGGGGTATAAGCAAAAGTTATTGTGAGTGGGGGTTTAATTTTTAACCCTGAAGAGGATAAAGACAAAGTTGAGGAACAGACTGTCCAACAAAATAACACTATCTTGAAACAATATCCCTAGAAGGAGCAGAGAGTAGAGATGAATATTTATATTTTGACTTCTTTAATTGACTGAATATAAATAACTTTTGTGTTTAAAATCAATTTATTTCATATATATATTCTTGTAATTCATAAATGATTTTATACTCTGCATTATTAAACACATAACACAAAGCATTATAATTCATATTGCATGTCATGATTTATGACTTATTGCTTCAGATCACAAACGTTCACTCTAAAAAAAGAGTTACGCGCCCTTGAATTTTGCGCCTTAAAAAAATCCTGGGGAGAACACTAATGTGTCATTTTAAATGGATGTATGGACAGATAGTTATTTGTCTATCAGTTAATTGAACTAGGTATGAAATGGTCTGCATTTCTATCTCTCCATGAAACTGGCATAATCAATAAATTTATATTTCAAATAACAAAAATGAAATGAAGTACCAAAAATTCTTCAATCAATACAATCAAAACGGTTTAATGGGATCCTGTCAGAGCATTCAAACTATCCCATATACAAATGATACAGAACTGTATAATGATCAAACCTTTCTCAAATCTCCACCAGAGCAGTACTCCATGGCTAGTAATGGAAGATCTTCTGGACCAACATCTAACTCAGGGGGAACATCTCTAGCACCTATCACATTCGGATGGACCAGTTTTTTCATAATATTCACTTCAAGTGCCCATCTTTGTCTGTGGCGAGCTGTCATCTCATTCTGGACCCTACATCTTTTCAGTGCTATGTATTCTCCATTCTGACAAAAATTTTAAGAATTTTAATATATATTGTTTTAAAAAATCCTGATAGTATAAGATTATCTTTTCTGAAAAATACTTCATATATAGTTGTTATCTAGTTGTAATATAATAATTTTAGCTGTCAAATATAACTCACAACTTGGTAATAAGGAATATGAAAATAAACTTTAGCTAAAATTATTTCATTCAACAATTCGTATGTCATTACGCATTTGAAAAATGATGGTCTTTTTAAGGTAGAAACAACCACTTCTTCTATGTTTTAAGATACAATAGTCCCTGTTGATTTTTTTTCTGTTCTTTCCACCCATATTTTCATTCATGTCCAGTGTACAAAGTAGTACCGATATTGTCGACATCGCAAAGAAGACAATGTCGACACAATATTGTACAACGTTGTCGATATCGTTTCATACTCTTGTCTACATCATTGACATTGACGATATTGCGAAGTAGACAACGTTGACACGATATTGTACAACGTTGTCGATATCGTTTCATACTCTTGTCTACATCGTTGACACTGACGATGTCGCGAAGTAGACAATGTCGACACGATGTAGTACAACGTTGTATATATCGTTTCATACTCCTGTCTACATCGTTGAAATTGACGATATCGCAAAGTAGACAATGTCGACACGATATTGTACAACATTGTCTATATCGTTTCATACTCTTGTCTACATCGTTGACATTGACGATATCGCGAAGTAGACAATGTCAACACGATAGTGTACAACCTTGTCGATATCGTTTCATCATCTTGGAATGCATGATCTATGACATGTCATGATTATCAAGTAGACACCAATGGAGTATGAACTTCCCACTTACAGGCAGCCAGATCTGGATGTCCCCAAACAAAACAAGAAGAATCAAACCCAAGAGCAAATATCTAAGTATCTAATTTAAAACTAAAAGGTTTAATAAGACAATAACACATCAATGACCAAAACACTCCTGACTTAGCACAGGCGCATATAAATGGGGTGGAGTTTAACTGAGTTTTGTTGGATCCAAACCACCCCCCTCTGCCTGGTCAGAGATGAAAAAGAATATACAAAAAGTACCCACAGTAAAAATACATCCTTAATGTATCCAACCCAAACAGGAAACGACACATGACAATTAAACATAAAATACAAAAAGGGCTTTTTAAAAAATATAGCTTGCACTTACTGAAAGCTAGCTAAGGATACATTTAGAAAAGATCTGTACTCGAAATTGCCAATTTAGACTTTTTTCCGGCATTCCTTTTCCATTAAAATAGGTCTAGAGTTATAGTTTCATAAACTAAAAAGACAAAATACGAAGTTGTACAATGCCAATTATGAAACATATACTGAGTGTATCGTATAACTAACACAGTAATATCAGCTTTGTAAACAATGTAGACAGCAAGTAGGAAGAGGTAGACGATCTTGTAACAATGTTGTCAACTTCGCAATGTCAGCAATGTCAACGATGTTGACAGAGAAGGGGGACGACGTAGACGATGTCGTCAACATCGCGATATCGGCGATGTCAACAATTTAGACAGCAAGAAAAACGATGTAGAGGATGTCGTCACGATGTTGGCGATGTCAACGATGTAGACAGGAAAGGTGGACGATGTAGACGATGTCGGTGATGTCAACGATGTAGACAGGAAAAGGGGACGATGTAGACGATGTCATCACGATGTCGGCGATGTCAATGATGTAGACAGGAAAGGGGACGATGTAGACAATGTTGCGAGCAGGTATAAAATCATGAACGAAGTTGACAATATCGGTGAAATCGTCACTACATCGTGCACTGGACATACTGAAATTCTGATCTGAAATTTATATATGAAATTGAATGAACTTGTCAAATTTAATTTTGGTTATTTAATGATGAATTGTTGAATTGATATCTAATAAAAACTTCTACACCACTACTGAATGGAATTATGAAATACGAAGATTTCAAATTCAGCTTCAGGTTCAATCTGACTGGTATGTATTTTACTACAATGTACCCTCCTTTCTGTACTGTGGACTATAATTGCTTAAATCCACTTCATTTTAACTCTAATGGATATACATCATAGTTGTCTCTTTGGGACTCATACCACATCTCCTTATTTTTATAATCCAAAACCACAAGACCTTACATCACTTTATACTGTTAGCTCTTATTGTATTACCTTATGCTTCCACAGATGTACAGCTCCAAAACCTCCAGACCCCAGAAGTCTTTCTTCCTTCCATCCTCCTTTTTCACCACCTAAAGTGGCACTCATATCTGTGAAAAAATGTGTTAAACTTGAGTAACATAAATACCTGTAATATTATATTCTGCATTTTTTGGCATTTAAAATGTATTGTAATACATGTACAAAGTAAACATAAACCTTAAGACTAAATAAGAAATCTGATCACCATTAAATAAAGTCATGGACATACTACATTTACATTGATTGTCACCAAACTTCCATACATAATCATATGATAATAAATATAAATTCCACATGAAACTTGTTTAACTTTCAACAAAATTGCAGAGTAGAGTCTATCTAGATCATTTATAAAATGTTGGGTAAAGTGAACCAACAAACATTCCTTTTTTAATGATTTCAAAAATATCTTTATTCAAACTTGGTCACTTGCACAAATACAGTAACATTTGAAAATGTTGTTTTGCCAAACCAGAAAGATGAAATACTTGTACAAATACAATTTATATAAGCCGAGCAGACATAATCAGCACAGTGTTGGAAAATATATTGATCAAATGTGTATTTTACCAAACTTTTCCTAATATCAAGCAGGGTTTTTAGATGTATTTTAGTTGTACATACAACTGGTTTCAAAAATAATCTCTATGGAACTTTGAAACAAGAGGTTATTTATTCCTACATTTTATATGGAGACCTAAACCAATAGAAAAATTTAACATTGATGCCACCATACACATATACAAATCTTTTAAAGCTTTTTATAAACATGAGAAAAGTATTTTCATAATTAATGCTTTTATCTCTTCGTATTTCATAATTCCATTCAGTAGTGGTGTAGAAGTTTTTATTAGATATCAATTCAACAATTCATCATTAAATAACCAAAATTAAATTTGACAAGTTCATTCAATTTCATAAATAAATTTCAGATCAGAATTTCAAATATGTCTAAACATGCTAAAAGAATATCAATGTTGTTTGGCTTATCGGAAACGCAGATATATTTTGAAATCCCACATGGTTTTGACAATATTCTGTTTGTTTTATCTATTTTCTATATACCTACAGAGACACGTATGACATGATACAATACAAAAGATTGGTATAGGTTACATAAGGCATTGTCTCAATTATTATCCTTATTATAAAATAAAGCATTTGTCAAGGTTTTGTAGATTATTTTGAAGACACCAAGGATGAAAATATTGCAGTAACTTAATTAAATTGAAACGTTGCCAGATTTTTTTTCAGTTGTCTTTTTTTCAATGGTACCAGACTGTGTGACTTAAAATCGGTCAACTGGAAAATGACCATGTGACAAACTAGCTCGCCAAAATAGTGGTATTTTCAGTCATGTTTCAATTAGAAATTGTAAAATAACATTATGTAGCACATATTTCTTACGACTCCTACCAATTAATTGTACCGAAATAGGCTGTGTATAAATTAGTATTATCCATATAGGTACATAATCCTCATGCACCTTTTCTCCAAGAGAATTCAGGCAAAAAACTTGCATGTCCTGTGTGATTGTTTACAGTATTTTCATGGCAAAACCTATTTTCCATCATGAAGAAGTTGAAAATATTTGTAACTCATTCTAAAACACTTTAGAGTGTTAAAATAACCCCAAATCACAAAAAACAACTGAAAAAGGTGTTTGTCATAACAAAAATAGCAAAGTGGATGGAATAAGCTAGTTAGAGATAGTTTGATACATGGCCTTTCAGTTAATTAAGGTGCTGCTAAGGCTTATTCCATGTTTTTTTCTGCCAAAAATCAAAAATTCATGTATGGACTGTCAATTGCAGGCTTTATCGCTTGGCCATATGCCAACCAGGCCAGGCTAGTAGTAAAATGTTTATTAGGCCTGTAAGAGTTTCTAATACAGATCAATAGAATTTAAACAAAATTTTCCAAAATAAGTTTATTTATGGCCTGTGGCTGCATCATTGTGAAGAATTGGAAGAAGTCTACTATTAATTGGGAAGCCTCAGAATGATATTCAACATGTTCAAAGGAATATAAACAAGTGAACTATGAAAAACTATCTCATGTGCAGTGTCAGTCATGAGATATTCAGCGGTTAGAAGTTAGTAAAAAAAGATTCTTACAAATCACCATGTAACACCCAAATTAGCAAAATTTACATATATCAGCAAAAAAATCGAGCAAATTGAAAGTAGATGTTCTATCTCTGTACAATAAAATGAACAGAAGTGAGAGACAACAAACATCATAGTCAATGGGGATTTTAAAAAGACTTTGTGTAAACTATGGAAATTTTTATGGAGAAAAGACTTAGACTAGAGGATGCATGTAGTTTAGCTGAATGTGACACATTATTGAAAGACAGTCCTATGACTATCTGTTGACCAATACCAGACCCCTTCATATTGTCTCAGGTTGATATGCAAGTCTTGGGATGATAGCAGGACTGGCATTGGGAAGGATATTTGGTAAAATTGTGATGAACCTGAAAATTGGATAATTGTAAACAAAAATATTTTCAGTTTTACGAGAAATGTAACCTCAAAAATATTAAGGACAACATCAATTTAGTTTGGATTAAATTATGTTGATAAAAGTTCTAATATTATGTGTTGTTTTGTAAATAAAAACCTGTGATAAATTCATTGTTGGAAGAAATATTGCTTGTTTCATTTCACCATCACATTCTTGGAAATTTTTACTTCCTGCCAATGGCGATTATAAATTTGGTTAAAACACGGTAAAGGAATAGTTCATTTCCGGTATTTTCATCTACCAAACTTTGCCGGACACAGTTTCTCACGGGGGTAACTTCGATATATTTTTGGTAGGGGTGTGTCATTTTTTGTCTAGAAAAACGTACCCATTTTAATATAACATTCACTAAAATTCAGTACCAATAGTTATATAAATATTTAAGAAAGAATGACCTATACTTTATAATATATACAATATTTAAAATAGATAAAATGACGTCAAAACGTTACTGAAGATCAAATCAGGAGATAAATTTCCGGGGTTCATTTGGGAACTTATTTGAAAGGTGAATTTTCAAATGAATTGATAAAATTTAATATCATAATTGACCATTAATAATGTAAGATTTTCAATAGCATAGATCTATTTATATATGATATGCAGATCCTACTCCAAATCAATAATATACAGTTATCAAACATAAATGCATTTTAATATAGGATGTCATTAAAAAGCAGGGTCAATTTTATATAAAATCTCGCAAAATTATGACCCATATTTTTGGCAAATCACCGTATATTCAATAATAGGATAATAGGAAGTAATAATAGACATTAAAAAAAATGGAAAATAAAAAAGGGGGGTCAATGCCACCAAGCGCCTGTGAATAAATATAGTGGAACATTTCTATATTCCGGACGTACGAAAGTTTTAGAAACCAGACTCAGCTTATCATAGGATAGGATACTAAAGTAATTTTGATCAATTGATTTCAGTCTCAAGTTTTTTTTTTATGAATATTTCAAATGAAAGCAGCTCTGTTCTTTAATTTCTACTATCTGCTGAGTTAATTAATTTTAATCATCCACCCATATTAGAGTGTAGAACGTTATAATTTTAAATCAGCTCGTTACTATGTAGTTTGATCTTCTTAGAAATCTTTGATATCAATTAAGCTATTATTTGTTCTTTGTTTGGTTGAAGTTACTTTTATTTTGCAATCGGTTATACAATTATTAAAGAGTTTTGGGATTTTCCTGTCCAGAATTTTATAAGTATAATGTCCTTGTATGTACCTATTGTTGTACCACTGATCGTGAATAAAATTGAGAGATTGTTGGTTACTGAAAAATCTAGTTAATTACCGCCACATGTTCATGTGCCTGTCCCATGTCAGGAACCTCGCCAGTTGTTGTCATTTTCTATATATTGAAGTTTTTTAAAATCATTTCAGGAATGTGTTGTTGATATCCGATTTTTAAGGGTTCTGTTGTTACCAACATTTTAAGATTCATTGGTTATAGAGATTAGTATTTTAATGAAGACCGTATGTTGATCTCTGAATGTCTTTCGGCTTTGTATCGTTGAGGTGCTGTCTCATTGACGTAAACATAACATTTCCTTTAATTGATATCTAAAAGAACTTTATATAACTGAATGAAAATGAGTTAACTTAATTATGATTGATAGAATTAGTGTGAGACTGAGTATTACAGAGATGTATGCATTATGTGTATATTTGCTTGTAGTCATAACGACTTACAAATGTATGGGATTTTTTTCTTAAACCAAGTCTTATTGTCAAATTTTCATAATAATTGGAAGGAAAAACAGGAAATAGCTTGTTTTATGCAGCTTTTAGATGACTGTTATTTTTGTTACCGCGCTGATAATACTCCATTCTGGGACTAACGGGACATACTATAATGATGTTGCAGGTTCATTGTTCATTAATTTTGATAAAATAGTATATAATTCCTCTAAAAAAATTATACGCTGTAAACTACATTAATATGACTTTTATGGTATCTTTAATGTGTTTAGCAAAGTCCTTTTTTTCTTCCCACAAATATTTAAAAGTCGCGAATTAAATCAAGTATAATAATACTGTAATTTAAGAAGTTAGAATACGCTGTTTTATTCAAGTGAAGATAGTTTGAATATTGCAATTTTTAGATCTTTTTATTGTTGTACATGTATAGAAACTGAGCGTTGGGCGTTATCAAAACGCATTTTATGCTAGCTATATGTAGTTTGAACCGACAACCCGAGCACTTTGATTTAATTTCTGCTCCATAGACTGCAAGTCTGATCCAATCTCTGCTTTATGTCGAGAAGTGCATCAGACCAAGTCGTTTCAGTACTCCTTTGGTCTCCACTAAGGTTAAAGTTTCCTCTGACTTCTAAGTTTATATATTACATGTAATATGATCCAAAGGAGTTTTTTTGGTACAAGTGAAACAGAAACCCTGCGACACAAAAATAAAAAAAACTTCAGAAAGTAAAAATACGACAAAAGTGACTATATATAGTTGTTAACACTTAAGGTTCTACATTCTGCCAATACGAATATCTTGGCATTACACAAGTTAAACTTATCTTTTCCTAGACGGTTTATTATGTCTTTACACTAGATCCATTGGAAGTATACTGATAGATATTTTGTCTTGGATACATAATTTTTTTTTATAGTTACTATTGAATTTGAACATGCTTTCAGTAACCACGAGTATTCTCAGATCTGTACTTTGTGTTTTTAGTGTTTTTTTTTTTTTTTTTTTTTGTTAGTTGTTTATATTTTGCTTTGTATCGATCTGATGAGCCAAGCCCTTTTCAACTGATTTTTATTATTTGTTCTTATATTGTGCTGTTATTTAACTTTCCTATGTAAGTGGGAGGGTTAGGCGCCCAATGACATGTTTTACCCTGCCACATTATGTATGTGCTTGTCCTAAGTCAGGAGCCTGTAATTCAGTGGTTGTCGTTTGTTAATTGCTGTATATCATATTTATTTTTCGATTGTCGTTTTGTACATAAATCAAGCTGTTGGTTTTCTCTTTCTCATTTTGATAGCCGGACGGTAACCTATAGTTGCTTACTTCAACATTATTTGCTCTCTGGCGGATAGTTGTCTCATTGGTAATCTTACCACATCTCCTTGTGTTATATTCATAATTCTTAACAACAGCAAGGTTACTATTCAATATGCCAAGGTCTAAATCGTCTACAGAGATTATCAAAGATCTAGCTACCAACAAACCAAATTCTCCAAACAAAAGATAAAGCGTTGTTAAAAGTTCTTCAAAGATATGCGTAAGCTAAAGTAACGTTAAATCAAGACCACCTTTTGGGTTGAAATCAATAGTATTGTTCTATATATGTCTTTGAAACGAACATATGCACGAGTCTTCTATTATTCAAACAGACACTGCATACCCTTCATGCAGGAGCACCTTAGTTCAATCCAAGTTTTTGATGGGATTTATATTGCTCAATCTTTAGTTTTATATGAAGTGTTTTTCGTCTTTATTTAGTTTAAGTTAAGTCATGGTGTGGTCAGTTTTATATTTGACTAATGGTTTTTGCTTAAAGTTTTCAGAAAATCTGCCATAAATTTTATTGCCCGAAAAAGGTCTTAAGCATAGCTTCCAAAACATAACGAACTATCACATATCATAATGAAGATCTTTGTTAACAAGGACAAAGGAAAAACGTTGAACACAGTTGAAATAAGATGACGCTATTGTTTTCAATAAATCAAAAATTACAATTAAAAATGTTCCACAAAACAACAAAAAAACTTGATAACATATTCGATTTGACACACTTTTTGAACGTTTAAAGTTTAAACTTTATTTGCCTTTGGTTTTAAAGAAATATCAGAGACAAATCATGCTTTCAAAATTTTTTCTTTATTGTAAATCTCTTAAATCTTTTCGCAGGTTGGTGTTGAGAAGTCGCATTCCTTGGTTTTGTCGTTCCATTTCAGTTTTCCTGGACACTTGCGATCATATTTCACTCGAAAAACACAAGTGACGTAGGCTTCACAAGACTCACATGACTGGTAGTAGCCAAGCATGGTCTTTCCACATTTCGTGATGCATGCTGAAATTAAAAAAAAATAGGTGAAATTGTTTTAAAGAATATTCCTAATCAGTAGCTACAGGTATGAGATTTTTCTAATCACTTAATTAAGGTAACCAGTATTATGAAACTTTATTGAATAAAATGCATCTTAACACGCAAAAACAAATCTTATTCAGAAACAAGCAAGTAGTTGTATTGATAATCCGCCTTGTAAGATCTATATCAAACATTTTTTGAGATTTGGAATTCGACATTTTATAATTTGATACATTTAGCAAAATGGTTGGTTGTAAATGTACTTATGAAATGGATACTATAATATGATCTTACTTTCTTGAGTTTGTTCGATTGTAATTTTATTATGCTATACATGTGTGTGTAACATGAAGAAAATATACTTACTTTTAGCCTTCACTTTTGCCTGAGCTACAATAGAGTAAAATGAAAAGAAAATAACTAAAATGAATGATTAAAAAATACCAATTTAATTGATAAAGACATGACATTAAACCTACGTTGTAGTTCTAGATAATTACAATTAAAATTGGATACTATCCTGTTTGTTGTTGAATTGTGCAATTTTTTTATTGTGTGTATTTGTTTTACAACATATGGTTTTGATAGGCAAAGGGAGGGGTTTGTGCACACGTAAAACTGTTTTTTAACCTTACCATATTTTGTGTTTGTACAAAGTCAGGTTCTATATGTATGTACCTTGTGGTGTTTGTTTGTGTATCTGTTTTAACCACATGAGTCGGATATTAGTGGTTTGTGTTGTCTGTTGTACTTTTGGTGATTCCTATGATTCGTTTTGTGTAAAGTCGTCTTAAATAATGTACCCGGACTTAACGGCCGATCATACACACGAAATATTATGTAGAGAACCAACATAGAGGGGACGTTCCGTCTCTTATCTTTATTTGATATATTGTTTGTTGCTTTTGTTGATTAATTGAAGTATTTCTATATTAAAAGTTAAGTGGTTTTGTAGAGATGTTTTTTTATGAGTTTAATGTCTTATATCATGTATCTAATTAAGAAAAGAAATGATCGTGTATATCCAAGTATTTCTATGCAAGACTTATAAGGTAAACATCTTTTTTAAAATTATAATATAATTTTTGCAGATAATCTAACATGAA